ACATTGTATGTATGTCTCATAGTGTATTCACGAGAGTCAGATGGTAGAAGGACATTGTATGTATGTCTCATAGTGTATTCACGAGAGTCAGATGGTAGAAGGACATTGTATGTATGTCTCATAGTGTATTCACGAGAGTCAGATGGTAGAAGGACATTGTATGTATGTCTCAATGTATTCACGAGAGTCAGATGGTAGAAGGACATTGTAAGTATGTCTCATAGTGTATTCACGAGAGTCAGATGGTAAAAGGACATTGTATGTATGTCTCATAGTGTATTCACGAGAGTCAGATGGTTAAAGGACATTGTATGTATGTCTCATAGTGTATTCACGAGAGTCAGATGGTTAAAGGACATTGTATGTATGTCTCATAGTGTATTCACGAGAGTCAGATGGTAAAAGGACATTGTATGTATGCCTCATAGTGTATTCACGAGAGTCAGATGGTTAAAGGACATTGTATGTATGTCTGATAGTGTATTCACGAGAGTCAGATGGTTAAAGGACATTGTATGTATGTCTCATAGTGTATTCACGAGAGTCAGATGGTTAAAGGACATTGTATGTATGTCTCATAGTGTATTCACGAGAGTCAGATGGTTAAAGGACATTGTATGTATGTCTCATAGTGTATTCACGAGAGTCAGATGGTTAAAGGACATTGTATGTATGTCTCATAGTGTATTCACGAGAGTCAGATGGTTAAAGGACATTGTATGTATGTCTCATAGTGTATTCACGAGAGTCAGATGGTAAAAGGACATTGTATGTATGCCTCATAGTGTATTCACGAGAGTCAGATGGTTAAAGGACATTGTATGTATGTCTCATAGTGTATTCACGAGAGTCAGATGGTTAAAGGACATTGTATGTATGTCTCATAGTGTATTCACGAGAGTCAGATGGTTAAAGGACATTGTATGTATGTCTCATAGTGTATTCACGAGAGTCAGATGGTTAAAGGACATTGTATGTATGTCTCATAGTGTATTTACATCAGTCAGATGGTTAAAGGACATTGTATGTATGTCTCATAGTGTATTCACGAGAGTCAGATGGTTAAAGGACATTGTATGTATGTCTCATAGTGTATTTACATCAGTCAGATGGTTAAAGGACATTGTATGTATGTATGTCTCAGTGTATTCACGAGAGTCAGATGGTAGAAGGACATTGTATGTATGCCTCATAGTGTATTCACGAGAGTCAGATGGTAGAAGGACATTGTATGTATGTCTCATAGTGTATTCACGAGAGTCAGATGGTTAAAGGACATTGTATGTATGTCTCATAGTGTATTCACGAGAGTCAGATGGTTAAAGGACATTGTATGTATGTCTCATAGTGTATTCACGAGAGTCAGATGGTAGAAGGACATTGTATGTATGTCTCATAGTGTATTCACGAGAGTCAGATGGTAGAAGGACATTGAATGTATGCCTCATAGTGTATTCACGAGAGTCAGATGGTTAAAGGACATTGTATGTATGTCTCATAGTGTATTCACGAGAGTCAGATGGTAGAAAGACATTGTATGTATGTCTCATAGTGTATTCACGAGAGTCAGATGGTTAAAGGACATTGTATGTATGCCTCATAGTGTATTCACGAGAGTCAGATGGTAGAAGGACATTGTATGTATGTCTCATAGTGTATTCACGAGAGTCAGATGGTTAAAGGACATTGTATGTATGTCTCGTAGTGTATTCACGAGAGTCAGATGGTTAAAGGACATTGTATGTATGTCTCATAGTGTATTCACGAGAGTCAGATGGTTAAAGGACATTGTGTGTATGTCTCATAGTGTATTCACGAGAGTCAGATGGTTAAAGGACATTGTGTGTATGTCTCATAGTGTATTCACGAGAGTCAGATGGTTAAAGGACATTGTATGTATGTCTGATAGTGTATTCACGAGAGTCAGATGGTTAAAGGACATTGTATGTATGTCTCATAGTGTATTCACGAGAGTCAGATGGTAGAAGGACATTGTATGTATTTTTCATAGTGTATTCACGAGAGTCAGATGGTTAAAGGACATTGTATGTATGTCTCATAGTGTATTCACGAGAGTCAGATGGTTAAAGGACATTGTATGTATGTCTCATAGTGTATTCACGAGAGTCAGATGGTTAAAGGACATTGTATGTATGTCTCATAGTGTATTCACGAGAGTCAGATGGTTAAAGGACATTGTATGTATGTCTCATAGTGTATTCACGAGAGTCAGATGGTTGAAGGACATTGTATGTATGTCTCATGGTGTATTCACGAGAGTCAGATGGTAAAAGTCAGTCATGTTTTGATCCGATAAAAATCGACTGCTCCATATTCTAGTTTGCATATGTTGTCCTTAAACAAAGGAACACCGTGGTCATGATTGTGAAGAGACTTCAGATGGCAGCGCTGCCTCTACGTGTGAAAGTCTCCAGGCGCAGATATAGTTGACAATATGTTGGTGTGCAGTCATGTAAATCAATAGACGGGTACCCAGTTAAAGGCACATCGATAGTGATGTCTCAGACAAGATTTTGTTTTGTTTCTTGTACTGGTTGTATTTGTTGCAAACGAACATTTAAGGTGCGCATCAATTGATAAGTTAATGATATACATAAAGTGGTATTAAGTACAATGGATGGGGTTTGACATCGACATGTTTGCACATATAGCTACGTGCATTTACGAGCGCTCGCGTGCTTGCTTGCTTGTGTGTGTGTGTGTGTGTGTGTGTGTGTGTGTGTGTGTGTGTGTGTGTGTGTGTGTGTGTGTGTGTGTTTGTGCGTGCGTGCTTGCGTGCGTGCTTGTACTAGTCCCATAATGCCGGATATATAATGCTAGCCATGAGATGCCATGCCGCAGTTTAACAAAAATACTGCGTTTTCCCCTTAATGTCGAGCGCCAGGCAGGGGGACGTCCCTTGGTATGACACCACCTAGGATCGAACCGCAGACCTTCCGGTCTCCGTGCAGACGCTAGCTATAGCCCTGTATCCACTAGACCACTAACGACAATATCTGGAAAAGGGGTGAAAATGGGCACAAGACCGTCAGTGGAACATTGTTCCCCCTTAAACTAAACGCGAAATTGTTGTAAAGTTACGAATCGCTGCTGACTGGCTATAATTCATTAGGTTAAGAACACACGTGACATCAGGCGCCAGCACTTGTTGGCGATAACGTTGCTCCCGTACTTATAAATTACACGCAAATCAAAGTATACGTATTGAATTAATAAATTGGTGATCGAGTTATTTTCATGTGCAATTATCAAGCATTATTTATATTAATTTCGATTTCATTGTACGACTGTGTTTTCATGGCAACCAGATAACATTCCCTTGTGAAGATAAGAACGTTAAATCACTCCGAAACCATATCTCTCTCTCTCTCTCTCTCTCTCTCTCTCTCTCTCTCTCTCTCTCTCTCTCTCTCTCTCTCTCTCTCTCTCTCTCTCTCTCTCTCTCTCTCTCTCTCTCGTAGTGTACTCCGCTCTGTATACATAACACAGGGGCCTTTTAAATTAAGACCTTACTTCCTTAACGAGCCATCTTTATATAATATTTGTTTTACGCCACATTGTGTTGATTTACCCATGATGACGGTTAATTCATGTCTGACGGTTGTGACCTGTCGGGGGCTTCGCGTGGACATTACCACTCACAAGATAGGCGTCACACTATACTTGCCTCCGGCCCGTGTCTCGTTCTTTTGTGTAGAGTTGCACTTACTTGAAGCCATGGCAACATTGCTAACTGAACACATGTCACGCTAGGCCCCCTTGTGTTTGTGTTGATGCAGTGGAGGGGTGTGGTGGGCGCAAATAGCAGACTGAGTGCACTGCACGAGCAAGGTGACGCCATCGGGTGTTACTGTCATACGACGAAAAGAAAACTTCCGATATATATTACTAGTTAATAAAGTGTCTATAGTAAATATGCAGAACTCAAACCTGTTATATGAGACATGTAGGAGCAAGAGCGTGTAAATCTTCCGGTACAGGATTAAACCTGAGGTAATAAATACGTACCCAACCCTAAGTTCACAATAGCTTCTCACATAAGACGCTAAGTATCCGTGCAATTGATATACTGCAAGGGAAAGGGGGGTTGGAGGGGAGGGGGGAGATGAAAGGGACGGCCGGATTATTATCAGGCACAAGGTATCACGACATACAATTCGTTCTTTCAAAGGTGCACATATGTCGATGTTTTATCAACGTTTTGAGTTGGTAAAATTTTAAAAGGAATTACACTTTTTTTACCGAAAATAGGTTCAATGTTGCCCCAGGCCATCTTTATTTTAAGAAAAGATAATGTAAATATATATTTCGAGAAGATGTTAAAGCATGTAATACATCAATGACAACAAGTTAAATTCTCCCCGTGTATTGTTTCATTTTGTAAACTTAATTCCGAGTTGAAATTACATATAGTTGAATTTTGACGCGTTAATATGAATTTTTTTAAGTTCTGCTCACAGACATAAGTTATCATAAAAGAAATGAAATAGATGTCTGTCTGAACAGTTGTATTCGCTTCAAAATAGTATACAAAATAATTGCACGCACCTCTTTGCCTGTCAACAAATATGCATTGGGTAATATGGATATCCAGCCTTCATTACATGTATACTTCATACAAATCTTCGATGGCAGAGTTCTCGGTCTCCTTTTAACATAGAGGGATGTTTTAAGTTTTACAGTTGAATTATAAATGTCACCGCAAGCCAGTGTTATTAGGTGTTATCATACACGTATATTCACAAGGAGATGTGTGATATATGTGTATAGCCTGTATTAACATGAGTATACACAACGCGAGGAATGTTATCTTCACACCCAGATTTATACCGTTAGATCCCACGGACGCAGCGTTTTCAAACTGTGAAAGAACTGTTATACGATTAGCTGTCACGCTGTGACCTGGACGCTACCCCCCGACCCCTCCTCTCCACGCCCAAAAAGTGCATACATTGCAGCAAACATCTGCCCATGCTTACCTGAACGTGGAAGCAGCATCCACACAAGAACTGCTGCTATAAGTTTGGTAGTTTCCATTCCTTAACTCAAAATCGTGCACGTTTCCTGTTGTTCAAGGTGACTGAAATTTATGCGGTGATTTGACCTAGTTAGTTAAGCCTGTGATAGAAAAACATGAGTCAACAGGAAATTGTGACAAGGGAATTCGGGTGAGCATTGAACAGTTCGCCCCGTGCGATGCACAGTAAGCTGAAAGCCCGCATTTTTAAGGTGTTTTTGTATATTATCAGTTTATTATTACGTATTGCTCATCGCATAGAACATTCATGTTAGGACAACAGCTTAACTTAGACTTACATAAACCCCAATATATAAATACATAATTAAATAAGTAAATATATAAGTATACCCCATATAATAAATAAATAAATAAAAATATAAATAAATAAATTTTAAAAAATTAAATAAAAATAAAAAAATATGCTCGTGGTGAGGGGGGTGTACGGATGACAAATATAAGTTGGACAGCTTTGAACACCTGTGCATGTTCCCTGTGTAGACAATTGAAGGCTAGAGTTATGGCGTCACATAGTACTACAATCGTGTTTGGGTTCGAAACAACGAGTCTTCCTCATTTTGTAAGTGAGTGAGTATGATTTACGCTGTTTTGGAAGTATTCCAGCAATGTCACGGCGAGGAACAGAAAGTGACCCCGCGAATTGTATTCATGTGGAGCATAGAACCAGGGGCCTTAGTTACGAGAGGCGCGTTAACCACGGGGCTACCTATCCCCTCCTGTCACCACTATATTCTCCAGACACTAGGGCAGCTGCACAGGAAACACACTAATAAGGCTGGAGCAGTTGCTGAGACATATCTAACTAAAGACACTACATCACTTGGTAATTTAACATCACTATAACGCCAGCTGGAGCTAACTGTTGTGTAATATAGAACAGGACACGCGGATTCGAACCAACGACAGCAGACACCAGCTGAGGAGAGAGCCGGGTGCTACTAGACTAATGTGCATGAGTCGCCTAAGTGTACAATCTGATACAACACAGCCACCTCTAATTTGATTGTGGTGAAAGCGTTTTAAGTTGTAATTTTAATTTGTAGGGTCGTATGTATAAAAACAAAGTTTTATCTTGTATCGGACAACATATGCCTAAACATGATATCATGCTACGGTGTCAGTTACAGTCAGTTATAAGTCTATATGGGACTACTTTGCAGTCAGTTATTAGTCTATATAGGACTACTTTGCAGTCAGTTATTGGTCTATATAGGACTACTTTGCAGTCAGTTATTGGTCTATATGGGACTACTTTGCAGTCAGTTATTAGTCTATATGGGACTACTTTGCAGGCAGTAATCAGTCTATGTTCATCATTATGTTCCCGAAATATCAGCAAAATACCGCTGGCTCTGACTGAGGATATTATTGTGACCCGCAAGTAGGGGAAGAAACCACTTGACAGGAGCGGTCCACGGAGATTAACGACCTTCTCCCACATTCTCCGATATGCGTCCACAGAGTTAATGAAAAACACCATAATATCGGGTCAGTAGAAAACCGTAAAATAAGCAAAACATCTATGAACACCGCGACACAGATCATGTATATACCCACAACACAGCTCTTTATATAGAAGACATCTTTACGGAAATCATTACGTCCTCTCTGCAATTCAGATGAACGGTGACATAGACACCCCGCGCATAATGTATACAACTATTTTATCAACACCTTGTTTGGACAGTCAACAAACCTGGTTGGCCATGGAAACAGGTAAGTCACATTGTCAATAAAAAGGGAAAAACAGGGGCTGTCTCAATCAAAGAAAAGGGACAGAATGGTATAATTAGATGTTTTTCAGCTTGAAACTAAAGATTCTATTAACGTCTCCAATACTACCTTACCAATTACACACAGCGTGGTGACGATCAGTTAAAAGAAAAGAAAACTATCCTATCCTCACTCTGAGGTCAACCTGCCTCTATAGAGTTTAGAAACTAAAGTTTTCAATTTGTGTATAATTCGAGCCTACGCCTAAGACTACATGTGGCTACCATCGGGCGGTCACCAGGCCCCCACCCCCAACACTGCCACCTGGCAAAGGGACGCATGTCAGTGCCACGATTGTCGGGTTTTGGTAATGATATGGACCACTTTATTGGGACGTACCGCAAGGATTTCACATTTCAGTTCTGACTCGGGCATGACATGGTCGACCAGTGTTTGAGCTAGCATGCCTGCCAAACTAAAGGACCTACCTGACCTCTTGGCTTTGCACAGTAATCCGCAAGTAACCTCAACGGGTACCGTTATTCTACAGAGAGACCAACCCATTATGTCATGAAACTCATCATTTTGAAGCAAAATGAAACAATTTGACAAGTTAAATACTGTTTATTGAAAATTAACAGTAATTCGTTTTACACAAATATAAATATTAAACTTTGATGAGAGCGTCATGTCATCTTCATGTTGATCACCCATTTTATAAGTTCACATAATATATACTTGCGATGGGGGGCGGTCGGGTAGCTTAGTTGTAAAAGCGTTCGCTCGTCACGCTGAAGACCCGGGCTCGATTCCCGACATAGGTACAATGTGTGAAGCCCATTTCTGGTGTCCCCCGCCGTGATATTCCTGAATATTGCTAAAAACGGCGTAGAACCATACCCACTCACTCACTCACTACTAGCAATGATATGGTGATGAGTCATCGACCCTCCGGCTACCGTAAGCATCAGGGAACACATTGCTGTACATTGCTGCAGAAACGTCGTTTCTGCAATCGCCCATTGGTTTGGTTGCACGACGTTCCAGCTCCCTAAGACACAGGCATATTCTGATGACTGCAGATCCAAACACAAATACGTTAGTACCAGAGAATAATCAGTCTCGATTTTCTACAATGTCCATTGGGCGTGAAAGGTAATACAGCGGTGAAAATGCTGAAAATCAGTGATGACACCAGGTGTTCGCGACAAGGGAGAGCATGTCCTGCCCACGTCATTACCTTGGGGTCCGACCATTTCATAATCGGGGACGTGGGAGCTGGGATAGTTTGAAAGTTCAATAATTTGCTCCAAAATATACCGGCAAAAAATTATTCTGCTTCAATTTGTTCACAAATATGTACACTGTTCAATGGATGTCCTGGAGAGTCGGGCCAAAGTACACAAGACCACAATGATGACAGTTGGTGTTCGCGCCGTAAAGGTCAAGGTCACAGATGGCCTAAGAACGCTCTTCAACGTCCATGACCTCGAATAACTCAGCAAGTGTACTCAGAAGATCCCGTCTCACTGTATAGTCCAGAGGGCTCGATGTAAGATTCTGTTCGTTTTGGAAATCGTCCATTTCTTAAGAGATGGGAGTAGGTGTCAGAAGTCAGAAGCAGCTGTTACATCTATACTGCCCCCTCCATAATCATAGGCATGGTTATGTCCAGCAACACCTAGCGTACTGGCATCAGCTGTGAGATGTTGCCAGTAGTCAAGAGTATCATACCCCAAAGAGCACAGCTCAATCTGGTCGCCACAGTCGTTTCCAGGCGTGAAGCGAACTTGGTCGGGAGTTGCCTCCCCTCGGAGCGCCACGGGTAAACATTGAGACGTTTCCGTACCGACTCGTTGTGATCTCGGATCGGACAATACGGCCCGCCATTGTTTACTTCCGATCCTTCGAGACGCTCTTCGTGATTCTACTCTGCGTTCTTTGTTGCGGGCCCTAGAAGTAAACCGTGCAGTGAGAAGGCAAAGTAGAGACATAACAAGTTAATTTGTTTTGTTTGTTGTTTAACGCCGCACTCAGCAATATTCCAGCTATATGACGGCGGTCTGTAAAAAAATCGAGTTGGACTAAACAATCCAGTGATTGACACCATGAGCATCGACCACGCAATTGGGATTCAATGACATGCATCAACCAAGTCAGCAAGCCTGACCGCCCGATCGTTAGACGCCTCTTGGGTTGCTGAAGACCTATTCTACCCCGAATCTTCACGGGTCGGACATCAATGAGCATGAGTGAGTACGTTTGCTTTAACACCGCTTTCAACAGTATTTCAGTTATGTCATGTGTCAGCTTGATGAGGGACAAAAGCCCAAAGTGATGCAGACCTTAGATGTTTACCACGGATATGGTGCTGACAAACCCAAAAACATAATGCGGGCGAATCATGGATACGAACCCACGGCCATAACCTTCAGGCACGCCTAAGGACACACCGTCATCCATGCCACCGGAAGTAAAAGTAGACATCAGCGTATGCTGAACTGACTTTCTAGTTCACATACACGTGTTGGGTGGTGAGGTGAGGCGCCTATTTCTTGTTTTATCCAAAAAATGCAGTATTTCAGTTTCAGTTTTAAGTATTAGATATAACGACCAACGTCTATATCCCATGAACTGGGTAGAACATACCACAGTGGCGTTATTGCCAGAGACTCATTATCAGTCCGGTACGAAAGATTTCAAATTGAAGGCTATAAAATCAAAATGTATTGGATGATGTTATCTAGAGCTATGCAAAGTGGCGTTATAACGAAGTGCTGTAGGTAGCTGTATAACGAATGTACCTTACAATCCCCACGGTGAGGAGGCTCGCCAGGGTGACCACACAGCCAGTGATGATGCCGACCACCAGAATGACGAAGAGAATTGGTGAGTGGAAATCTGAAAAGAAACATCTTTCCAGTTGTTATAGTAATACTAGTCATTCTGCCCGTGACGAACAGGGTAAGAAAAGGTGTTCAGTAACCCATACATGTCGTAAAAGGCGACTATGCTTGTTGTAAGAGGCGACTAAGGGGATCGGGTGGTCATGCTCGCTGAGTTGGTTGATGCATGTCATCATGTCTTAATTACGTGGATCGATACTTATGATATCTTTCACTGGATTGTCAAGTCCAGAGACGATTATTTACAGACCGCCGTCATATAGCTGGAATATTGCTGAATACAGCGTTAAACAAACTAAACTAGTGTCCAAAAGAAACGATACCACCTGTTTGCAACGACATAAAAGAAAAACTAAACAATGCAGAAGTTTAGGATTGGTGTTATGCTTTTGAGAAATCCTTTCACAACATCTGTACAAAAATTTCATTTCAATAAAATCTGTACAACCAATATGACAAGCCTTTAAAGATGGGTGGGGTCGAAAAATGAACATTTCGTTAGAGCACTGATCACAGAAACAACGGGAAATGTCACACCACACGTCTCAAAGTCAAGTCAGTAGCGGGTATGTCCACCGTGAGCATCAATACATGCCAGAACACGCCTACGGACTGATGACGTCAAACGTCTGATGACGTTGGGAGTGATGCGTTGCCATTCCTCGAGGAGACATCGTTCCAAGTCCTGGACGTTGACTGGAGGCACACGGCGACGTCGGATTTGCCGATCGAGGTGGTCCCATAAGTGCTCGATGGGATTCATGTCCGGTGAACATGCGGGCCATGGCAAAACCTGTACGTTGGCGTTGGCAAGGAAGTTCTGTGTCGATCTTGCTGTGTGTGGCCTTGCATTGTCATGTTGGAAAAGGTGTCCACGAGGCTGTTGCTGAATAAAGGGCACCACAACAGGCCGTAGGATGTCATCAAGATAACGCTGTGCATTCAGGTTTCCACGAATTACGACAAGCATCGTTTTGACGTCACCACATATGCCACCCCAAACCATTAACCCTCCACCTCCAAACGGCCGGACCTGTTGGATACAGTTAGGCGCCAAACGTTCACCAAATCGTCGGTATACAAGCTGCCGTCCATCGTTTCTGAAGATGAGGAATCTGCTCTCATCAGAGAACATAACACGTGCCCAGTCCCGCCGTTGCCAACGTCGAACTCGCCTGGCCCAGATCCGTCTGTTGTTCCGGTGTCGAGGCGTCAGGAGCGGTCCGCGGTAGGGATGACGTGGCCGGATACCATACTGCCGTAGTCTCCTGTAGACGGTCTGTCGACTGATCCTGTGTCCCAGTGCTGTAGCCGACGTGGACGTCGCTGTTACGGTGCGGTTCCTCAGGTGTAATACCCGGATGTAACGATCTTCACGGGGCGTGGTTACTCGTGGTCTTCCACTCCTGGGCCTGTCTGACGTCTGACCTTTCTGACGTAACCGCTGCATCAACCTGGTGATAGTGATGCGTGCGCAGCCCAACCTTCTGGCGACGTCGACGTGTGACGCTCATTGTTGGACCATTCCAACGGCTCTCTCTCTCTCGATGGCTGTCAAACGTGGCATATCTTGTGTTCTTTTTGTTGCTGTGATATCAACGTGTCTGATCAGCCGTTTTATACAGTTTTTCTGCACGTGCAGAACATGCTAGAGAGGGAAATGTCACTTTCACGAAATTTACGTTTTTTCCCGGAAGTGATCACGTGTTCCCGATATTTTTTATCGACTATGCTGTGTTTGGGATGTGCAATACGAATTGGCATGTTTTCATACTTGACAATTCACTTAGTAAAAAACAATTTAGAAAATAAGTTGGTATCGTTTCTTTTGGACACTAGTTTATATTGGATCATTCAATAGTCGCAGTTGCCCAACTTGGTCATCAGCATCGCGATAGAAGCACAGAGCCGCGACTAAGGAAATACATTATGTTACACAAACGTCCATACATAGGTAAATAACTTCTCTATATTCACAGCCTTTAATACATATTGCCGTTTTTCACTTCATTTTCAGTTGATGGTTTGGGTGGTTCAATATAAGCATATTTTAAATTATTAATGTTTTGGTGTGATTTTTAACTTTTTTCTTAATATAATCACCGCGATGAGGCGAAACCATCACTCGATTACTTATGTGATCAATCAGCAGAAAGTAACTTACCGAGACAGGTGGACGCCATTGTGGAAGTCTGGGACCTAGGGGGCCAACGACACACAAACAACCGATCAGCGGATGAATATATGTGCTGTCAAGCCCAGGCCGGAAACCCAGCTGTCATGAACAGTGTAAATATAATTATTGATTTCCTTATAAACACTGAATAGAATAATTTTCATTTATAAGTCTTTAATTAACGTTTATTTTCTTTAGAGTTGTTGTTCTGATATGTGCCGAACCTAACGATAAGTACGTGATTATCATGATCTACAGAGTTGTTTGTTTTTTGTTTAACGCCACACTCAGCAATATTCCAGCCACATGACAGCGGTCTGTAAATAATCGCGTCTGGACCAGACAATCCGGTGATTAATATCATGAGCATCGAGCCCACATCGTCGTCCGAGATTGAGATGGGCACGGACTGTGCGTCATTGGCAGCGACGTGACTGGCTGGGCTCGTCTTCTCTGATGAAAACTGGTTCTGTCAGTTGTAATCTGTCGATTCCCACATTGAAACAATATCTTAACCCAGAAATATGTACATAAAAGAATTAAGTGTGAAACCAACAAACAACCAACAAGTGGTATACAATCAACAAATGTATTCACAAGGTCCGTAGAGGACACCACTGTTCGTCGTAAACGGAAATTTGACCGCTCTGCGTTACATGGATGACATTCTTCGTCCTCTTGTCCTGTCAGTTCAGTGCAGTGCGGGGTCCTTTATCAGCATGATAACACCAGACCCCGTAAAGTTCGAATTGTACAGAACTTCCTTGGAGCCAACAACGTGAACGTGTTGCTGTGGCCTGCACGCTCCCCAAACATGTTCCCCATAGAACACCTCTGGGATGTCATGGATCGCCGTGTTCGACAGCGACCACATCCTCCAGCCTACAGACAAGAACAGATCAAGGCCTTCCAAGATGAATGGCGACGTATCCCACGTGACGGCATCATACGACTGACTTTTTCTGTGCGCCGGAGAGTATTTTTGCGTGTCTTGTATTGTTTGTTGTTTTATGCTGCACTCGGCAATATTCCAGCTATATGACGGCGGTCTGTAAATAATCGAGTCTGCACCAGACAATCTAGTGATTGTCCAAATCAGCGAGCCTGACCACCCGATCCCGTTAGTCGCCTCTTACGACAAGTACAGTCGCCTCTTACGGCAAACATGGGTTGCTGAAGACCTATTCTACCCCGGATTTTGACGGGTCGCGTGTCTTGTAGCCAGGGGGTAGTCATACACGTTGTTAATATGACGTGTCATTGAACTTAGACACACGGTAGACACACGGTAGACACACGGTAGACACACGGCAGACACACGGTAGACACGACAGACACACGGTAGACACGGTAGACACACGGTAGAGACACAGTAGACACACGGTAGAGACACGGTAGACAGACGGTAGACAGACGGTAGACACGGTAGACACACGGAAGACACACGGTGGACACACGGTGGACACACGGTAGACACACGGAAGACACACGGTAGAGACGCGGCAGACACGGTAGACACACGGCAGACACACGGTAGACACACGGAAGACACACGGTAGACACACGGAAGACACACGGAAGACACACGGTAGACACACGGTAGACACACGGAAGACACATGGAAGACACACGGAAGACACACGGTAGACACGGTAGACACACGGAAGACACACGGTGGACACACGGAAGACACACGGATGACACACGGAAGACACACGGTAGACACATAGAAGACACACGGTAGACACACGGAAGACACACGGTGGACACACGGTGGACACACGGAAGACACACGGAAGACACACGGTAGACACACGGAAGACACACGGTAGACACACGGAAGACACACGGTAGACACACGGAAGACACGGAAGACACACGGAAGACACACGGTAGACACACGGAAGACACATGGAAGACACACGGAAGACACATAGAAGACACACGGAAGACACACGGTGGACACACGGTGGACACACGGAAGACACACGGTAGACACACGGAAGACACACGGTAGACACACGGAAGACACACGGTAGACACACGGAAGACACACGGTAGACACACGGTAGACACACGGAAGACACGGAAGACACACGGAAGACACACGGTAGACACACGGAAGACACACGGAAGACACACGGTGGACACACGGTAGACACACGGAAGACACACGGTAGACACACGGTAGACACACGGAAGACACACGGAAGACACACGGTAGACACACGGTAGACACACGGTAGACACACGGAAGACACATGGAAGACACACGGTGGACACACGGAAGACACACGGTAGACACACGGAAGACACACGGAAGACACATGGAAGACACACGGAAGACACATGGAAGACACACGGAGAAACACGGTAGACACACGGTAGACACACGGAAGACACATGGAAGACACACGGTGGACACACGGTAGACACACGGTAGACACACGGTAGACACACGGACGACACATGGAAGACACACGGTGGACACACGGAAGACACACGGTAGACACACGGTAGACACACGGAAGACACACGGTAGACACACGGTAGACACATGGAAGACACACGGTGGACACACGGTAGACACACGGTAGACACACGGAAGACACACGGTAGACACACGGAAGACACACGGTAGACACACGGAAAACACATGGAAGACACACGGTGGACACACGGAAGACACACGGTAGACACACGGAAGACACATGGAAGACACACGGTAGACACACGGAAGACACACGGAAGACACACGGAAGACACACGGTAGACACACGGAAGACACACGGAAGACACACGTTTCCAGAGAATGAATATGATCACTTTTCAGATGAAGAGGCAAGCATGACTTTATGTGAAAAGATGACAACATCTGGCAAGGAGGTCTACATCAGCAGCAACCGACTGAAGATGTCATCTCGGGAAACAAGCACCTGCACCTGTACAGTCAGTGGAGCTGCGAGCCGCGTCACCCTGCTGGACGTCAGACTGGGCAACAGCCACGTGACCACACTGTCCATCAGGGACAAGACACGTACAGTGTACACAATCCACGGTGGCGACCTGGCAGTCCACTTCATGAAGTCTGTGTTGGTCAGTCAGTCAGAATGGACCATAGAAGCTGATGTTTCCCGAGACTATATATAAATTTGATCTTTGCAATACATTTTACTTCATGCATCTATATTTTGCGGTTGTTAAACTGGAGTGATTTAAAATTGTTAAAGTTTCTTTTGGCCGTCAGTGTACCTTTCCCCAACGCTTAATGTTGCCCTAGAAGTAACCTATCACATTATCAATACTGAAAGTGTAGGCAAAACATAGTTTTGAACTACTTACCTTTACAAGGGGTTTGGCAACGGGTGGCTTAATCTAGACAAGAAAGCAAACTCACACGAAATACTTCCTTCTTAACGGAGTAAACACGTGTAACCTTGACGTGCAGTTTTCACTTCCTTATAAATATGTTTGTGTAGCAGTGACATGTCTGAAGGAGCGTTGTGTTGTTCTGTAGGACTCATCATTATTAAATCATTATACATGCAACTGTTTCGGTCAGCACGAAATCACCGAGATAGGATCTGCCTATTTCCTCATAATCTCACCGTGTAGTCTCAAACGTGCTGCTTCATATTAAGGTTGCGTTTAAAAAGCTTATTTATAAAATTATTTTCTTTAGAATCATTGATTACATTATGCACGTTTGATCTATTGTCGATATTAGTCATTGCATATTATTGTTCGTCGATTAGCGATATCATTAATTTGATGTCTTGCGATTTTAATAAACATTTTTTATCGACATGGTGTCGGTATAGCTTAAGGGCAACTTGGACCAGAAATAAGGTATATTTGCGCCCAACACATCAAATGATGTTTGACCCTTGAGAATACGGGGTAGAATAGGTCTTCCGCAACCCATGCTTGCCCAAAAAGATGACTGTGCTTGTCGTAAAAGGCGACTGACGCGATCGGGTGGTCAGGCTCGCTGACTTAGTTGATGCATGCCATGAATCCCAATTGCGTGGATCGATGCTCATGATATTAATCACTGGATTGGCTGGTCCAGACTCGATTATTCACAGACCGCCGTCATATAGCTGGAATATTGATGAGTGCGGTGTTAAACAACAAACCAACCAACCAACCAACCAAATCAAATGATGTTTAACCATCGTAAATAAAAGTAGATTTACTATACCAAACCGGTGAAAGAAGTTTATGACCAGTGATCACCATTGCTGCTAATATTGAGTGAGATATTTGTAAACGCCATTTTGAACACACTGTCTGAACATTTTTTTAGCTGATTCTGTAACAAATTGGAAGTTACCAAATCCTCCCCAGAACGAACCATCATCTACAAATATTGCAGTTTCAACTTTAAAAGGAAGGTTAGTGAAAAACGTTTGTCATGATACTGAACAACGCTGGGCTAATTACACTTCCCTGTGGAGTACCATTATCTACGATGTGCAAGTCTAACGTTCTGTGCCAATACGCAATGCCCCTTTCAGACAGAAGGACTGTATCCATCTAAACATGTTACAAACTTTTGATACTTGAAATCATATCTAATGTGATCCTGGTTGCAAGTTACTTTCGGAGTTTCTCATTGATCCCGATCAGTGCATGGGCGACCGCTTCGAAACCCGGATTTAATTCTGAATAAGAGGTATTTTTTTCTCCAGATGATAAGTTAAGCGGTTGTTAACTGTATTCTTTCCATGATTTTACATATATTAGAGGTGAGGGAAATTGTCCAAAACGGGGTATATGAGAGGTGTTTACCTGGTTTTGGTACAGGGACACTTATGGCATGTCTCAAAGCCTACAGGAGAGAGCACCAGCGCATATGCACATGGAGCAGAATTTTGAACATAAGATAACACACGTTACCTACTCGGTTTAGGAGTTGTGAGCAGTACAGGTTACCCATCTATTCACATCATGTGTAAATGATGTATTTGAATTCAGAAATCAACGTCCCGTGGTCGTTGTTTATCGTACAATAAAAACACTGCAGGGAGAATAAACGTCTCGTGGTCGTCGTGTATCGTACAATACTACACTGCAGGGAGAATAAACCATGAGGGGAGTGTTTTTTCTCCCTGAAGTGTTTTATTTTTATTATTTTGTATTACTTATAGATATCAGCATTGTGTACAGCCTCGTTAATGATGGTGATAAAATGTACAAGCTTTATAAATAGTTGCCCTTATTTTAATAATATATTCTGAATTAACATAAGACGTAGCCTATAAAAGGTCACAGTGTGCTATGTCACCGTTATTCCAGACCAAATGGGGGCACGGGTGGCCCAGTCGTCTAAGGCGCCGCGATTCGCTGTGCAGAGTTGCGTCCCCAGGACACGCCAGAAACCTATGATTGTGGGTTCGAATCCCGGTTCTCCCCGATTATGTTTCTAGGTTTGTCAGCACCATACCTGTGCTCGTGGGTTTCACCGAAGTGGTAAACGTCTGAGACCTGCATCACTTCGGGCTTTCCTCCCACATTAAGCTGCGCGCCGTGATATAACTGGAATATTGTTAAAAGCGGCGTTAAACCCAACTCACTCACTCATGACCAAATGGATTTTAACGGGGTAAATCTATTGATTGTAGAGATGAAAAACCGCCAACTTGAACGTTTGGTACTTCTAACAATGCACTGAAACTCAACACATTTTTTCAGAAACTCAAATCACATGGCAGTGAGGTATTGCATCTGATGTCACTTGCACTTTTGGCCTTTTCACATTCCTGACTCCACCAAGTTTGGAGGACGAAAGCTGGATGTATAGTTGATACGTTCGCTGACGACATTTCAGTCGATCCATCAGCTATTGCAACTATTTGTTTTGTAATATTGTCACTATTATCGTGGACCCGTCAAGATCCGGGATAGAATAGGTCTTCAGCAACCCCTGCCTCCCGTAAGAGGCGCCTAAAGGAGTCGGGTGGTCAGGCTCGCTGACTTGGTTCATGCATGTCATCGTATGCCAAATGCATACATCGATGCTCATGATGTCAACCACTGGATTGTCTGGTCCAGACTCTATTTCCTGTATGAAAGCAATACAATCAGTCACACAGCAACAGCTTATTTATGTACTTTCAAAACCTCGGCGGGATATGAACCTGCAACCGATTCATGTGCAGTCCTACCGCTACCACCTGTGCCACGGAGACTGTTGCTGTCACAGAGGTCAAAGTTCCTAGTCACCATTACCTTCTTACAGTTGTACAAGGTCCGTGAAGGTCCAGGAGCATAGACGCCAATGACGTCATATGACAATGGAATACATAGCAGTCCGTCGTTAGGTGAAACGGGCTGCTATCAAGTTACAGTTGCCCGCAGATTTCTGTAAACATGCGGGCATTTTTATAATAATTCTGTTTTGTTCAGCTATAGTACTTCAAACGTTCCCATTTAGTGCATTATATATTCCATTGTTAACGTTTATGTTTACATTAAAGCGTTGTATCGGAAACATATGTACTGGTCCTGTCGTTTATACCTGTTGTAATTGTCAAGTTTTCATTTTGACATGACATGTGCGACAATGACACCAAATAGTGTAAACTGTTCGGCATAATAAATTCACGCCTCGCCCAATATTTTCCTGCTAACCTAATATGACACCGTATACGGCAACTAAAGCCACCATAACTAATAATATGCACCTTGTCGGAAACATGTTTAAACTCTAAAATGTATAAATTCTAAGCATGTTTAGAATTTGGAGATAGTATTAATCTATTAAGATAGGCATGTCTAACCTCGCTGTCAGCCAGAACCAGTCTCCCACATAGCGACATTATTTCAATACGAGTTGCGTCCCTTACATGTACTGTCACGTGTTGGTGCGAAGAAGGAAAGCGCGGGGCTGTTCAATCAGACTTGAATCTTTCAACCGAATACAGAAAGCAAGCATAGAGGGATTTTATTGGCTCCAAGATGTTGCGGGACATATGACAAGGTGCGAAGACACCATTGCCTGGTTCCATTGTTGGTTCGCACACGTTTAGTCCAAACAATGTGCTACAAGTATGTAGAATATCCGCTTATAGGTGCACATGTGCAGCGTCCTCAATTGCGATTGACTAAAGACGGAGCAAGACTAGTGCTGAGTATGGTGTTAAACGATAATTAACAAATAATAAACATCTTGCTAGTAGTGCCCGTAGCAATGGCTGAAAAACTGGTGTTGGGCGAAAATACATCCCAGAGTGCAATGCGTGTAGCACGAGCTGACAACAGTGTGGATCGAGTTGTGAAAATGTACGACCTGAGTGTCATTGTACATTACACAGCTGGTTTGCCCAGCCGTCGTGATATAGCTGTTGTATAGCCGTGTTCGTAGTGAGTGAGTATGGTTTTACGCCGCTTTAGCAGTATTCCAACAATATGACGTCGGGGGACACTAGAAATGGGCTTCACACATTGTACCTATTTCGGCAATCGAACCCGGGTCTTGGGCGTGACGAGCGAACGCTTTAATCACTAGGCTTTCCGACCGCCCTGCCGTTTTGATACCTCTCACTCATCCCATTTAGGTGTGTAACCACAGTTCCGAAAGTTACAAATCTAGCGGTACATTTTACAAAATGGCAAGAGAAATGGACAGAAACCAAACACTTGATATCACGTGTTATAGATAATGCTTGTCAAGCTCTCGTGTCCCGGGGAAGAAGACCCCCCCCCCCCCCCCCCCCCCCCCCACCACCACCACACACACACACACACACACACACACACCACCACCCCACCCCGATGACGTCACGATGATCTACAAAACATTTTCTTGCAATTCATTGTGGTGATATCATAAATAAAAATTGGGTACATTAATACTGACGGTGGATATAGCTCACATTTAATGTCCCAGTGCATTCACACTATAGCCACTTTCCTTTTGACTGCGTCCTACATTCGACACCTAGCTATTAAATTTGATACGCCCATGTCTTTCAGTAAATGGAAGAAACATGTACTCCAGCGACCCATGTTGTATAGCTTACATAGAGCTCACTGCTTCGTGTGTATACTGTCTATAGAATATCTTGGGCGTGAACCCCCCGCTATTGAATATGCGCCATTCATACTGCAGCGCGCGTCGTTGCCACGCCAACAAACTCGCTGAAGGAGCAGACGACACACCCAACTGTTACAATGACTCGACTATACCACGCACATGAAGCGTGATTATTTAATCACTTGATTTAATATTGACATAGTTAAGTTGAAAAGTGCAATTCAAACATGCTCGTAATGTAAACTGAGTTTGTGTGCTGGCAAAAGACACGCAATAATGATTGTGCGATGATGAAGTGAGTGAATATGGTTTTACGCCGCTTTTACCACTATTCCTGCAATATCACGGGCTTCACACCTAGTGTACGTATATGTTTAGCTAAAAATCATAAAGTATAACAAATACACTATGTGAAACAAGGATACCGACATTCACATTTGTTTGTTTGTTTGTTGTTTAACGCCGCCCTCAGCAATATGACGGCGGTCTGTAAATAATCGAGTCTGGACCAGCCAATCCAGTGATTAATATCATGAGCATCGATCCACGCAATTGGGATTGATGACATCCATCAACCAAGTCAGCGAGCCTGACCATCCAATCCCGTTAGTCGCCTCTTACGACAAGCATAGTCGCCTTTTACGGCAAGCATGGGTTGCTGAAGACCTATTCTACCCCGGATGTTAACGGGACCAGTATACCGACATTCACAGTATGTGACGTTATTTAATATATCATATAGATGTATCCATGTTAAACTGCGGAACGGTATCTCTGTTGTATAGCACTATAAAACCTGCATGCTAGCACTATAAAACCGGCATTAGTCCGAACTAGTAGAAGCACACACACACACACACATACACACACATACACACACATACACGCGCGCGCGCGCGCCAGACATCAATACAACAAAGTTAAAGGTGTATGGAATAATAATAGCTTTCGTGTGAAAGAAGATGTTCATTAAATTATTTATTCAATGTGCAATGTAAAACAGGTGATGTATAAATAAATAGCCTACATCGGGAATGCATAGCACAAGAGCATTTACAGCCAATGAGGAGCGAAATAATGATTCTTCAAATTCTTTGTGTTCGTGCTGCTTCCAGTGAAAAGTCTTGAAGTACAAATGCAAAAATCATTTCAATCTTAAGTGAACGAGATCATATTGTCAATGCGTGCACTTAATAATCACGAATATTGTTGTACCAAGGACTCGCACGCCTTCCCTGGTATACCATAAACACGTGACACAAACTCCACACACGGTCACACTCGGTGGGCTGTAAAGCTTATCCATGAGCACGTCAGAATGTCGTGGATTTGTCCAATCGTTTTTCAATCAGTAGACTCCACATCATATAGATACCTGACTAGGTGCTATGTGTACCTGTGTTTTCGTCGCGACCCGACATGGTTTTGTGGCGATCCGACGAAGCGCTGTCTTTGCCATTTTGACAACACCATTGTTGCCAGTGTCTCTTCCTCAGGACACCAGGGCGTTTTGAATCGCCCAACACACAAACACCTTCGGCCATTTTCAAAGCCAGCAGACAACTTGATCCACACAATGTGAATGTCAGTTACCTCTCTTCCGAAACCTTCGAAACAGTTTCCGACTTTTTTTGGACGTCATAGACGCCGTGATGGCGTTCTCAAACACCTGCCTGACACCTTCATCTGTCTTAGAGGAGCACTCCAAATATCCCACAGCTCCTATTCTGGCAGCCATTGCCATTCCTTCTCGATATTTCACAGGTCCTTGCTTGATACAGGTCACATTTGCGTTTTCATAGTCTTCCCTCAGGTCTGATTTGGTTCCTACAAGTATGATGGGTACATTCCCGCAGAAATCTCTCACTTCCGGCACCCACGTGTGCTCCACGTTCTGGAGACTGTCTGGGTTGTCCACAGAGAAGCAGACGAGAATCACGTCAGAATCCGGGTAACAGATGGGACGCAGACGATCATAGTCTTCTTGTCCCGCCGTGTCAAACAGCGACAGTTCAACCTGGGGAACAGAGATGATTCATTAGACAATCTGAGTTACTGTTATCTATATTACTGAGGCCGTGAACGTCTCTTTCAACTATATAACGAACGAGAAATGTTGAAATGGATATATCAAAATTGTAAATATGAATAACCTTTGTTGACATCGATTGCAGAAAGTTCATTGTTTTGACAATATTTTACTAATTTAGATTTGGTTATATCCGAATACTGTATCGTAGACCAAAAATCGTTTGTTCACTTTGGAGGTTGGCGGGAGTTGTGGTTTTCTTCAGAAAAGGGTGGATCCTTACTCATAATATCAATCACTGGATTGTCGGGTCCAGATTTTAATAGATACGCACCGCCGTCATGCAGCTGGAATATTGCCGAGTATGGCGTTAAGCAAAGAAAGCAAACTCTCTCGCAAGGACAGAATACGTACTGTTTTATTCTTGTAGAGTACTTCTGTGACGTCAGAGTCGAACACGGTGGGAAGGTAACCGTTGATGTGGAACACCCCTTTGTTGAATCTGTACAGGAGGCAAGTCTTGCCGCACTCCCCGTCGCCAACAACCACCAGCTTCTTCCGGATGATGGAGTGACCCTCCTCAACCTCTGTAATATAAACACTTGTTTATACTAACACTTTTACAAACGTCATATAATAAGAGTGAGTGAGTTGGGTTTAACGCCGTTTTTAACAGTATTCCGGTTATATCACGGCGTGCAAGCTTCATGTGGGAGGTGAAGCATGTCTCAGACGCTTACCACTTTAGTCAGGCCAACGACTACAGGCATTGTGCTGACAAACCTGACGAACCGGGATTCTAACTCACATGCATAGCGAATTGTGGCGCTTAAGACGACTGGGTCACCCGTGCCCCTTTTAGAACAAGTCCTTGACATTACAAACAACTCTCAGTAATATATACAACAATCATTTTATATCGAACCTTAACAATACAAACACCTCTGAATAGTAAACATCAACAAGAAAAATCAGCTGTAGCATTAAAAGCACTGACACATCTGGGTGACACCCTTTATTGAAAGGAAGATTGGGTGGGGTGGGGATATAGGGTGTGCCCTTTTCACTGTCACCTGTCAGTTTGGGTGTATTACAGGTAGAGATGACATAGCATGATATGTGTAAAATGGGTTACAATTTACACTAGCGTAGACAGCTATGTCCATATGCAACTCGACTATCTCATTTCTATGTCAGCCCAAACAGCTTGAGATTAAACGTCTACAACACTTTCACAAAACAATGTGATGATATTAGTGAGTGAGTGAGTATGGCTTTATGCCGCTTTTAGCAATATTCCAGCAATATCACGGCGGGGGGACACCAGAAATGGGCTTCACACATTGTACCCATGTCGGTAATCGAACCCGGGGTCTTCGGCGTGACGAGCGAACGCTTTAACCACTAGGCTACCCGACCGCCCCCGTGTGATGATGATAAGCTGTTGGTGGCAATTATCAAAAACTCAGATTCGGAATGGCGTAGAGGTGTGGCTAATGTAGATGTCTTTGTTATCTATGTAAAGTATATATTAAATATAACAATATTATTTCATAACCACTAAGCTCTATAAATCTGGAATATTACCAAGTATAAGTTTATAAATGTGTTATGCAAGTCAACATTGCTGGGTCTAAATTGAATTCCGATAGTCCTGTTAAGAATCAAAGAAAAGTCTAATTTACATTAAAATATTATCTCTTCACATGTGTAGCTGAATCCCAAACCAAGCAACGCCCAGATTTTGCAGCTTGATAGGTGTTGCTATCTACATTACAAACATTAAACAAACATTCAAACATGGTATTACACATCGTATTTAAACTGAAACTCACCTGAAGGTTTCACACATCGAAACATTTCTTCTATTTAATCCCCGCTAGAGTATACATCGGTACAGCCCTCCTCGCTTTGTCGTTGACTGACATGAATCCCGCACCTAGCCGTCTCCGGGGTATATATGCTGCAGCTGAGTAGCCCAAAATAGCTCGGAATATCATTGGCTCAATGGCGACCATGTTTATTTCTGTCGCAGGTAGTCGCAAGATGGATATAAGCAATAATACATTCATCCGAGGTTAGTAAGATACTGCAAATAGTCACACGTTTACTAATCATACTAAGTATATGAACGTATTTATAGTAAAGTTTCATTTAGGCTTGTACACGTTGAGTAACTGCTGGAATTCTCACCGGATGCAAAGGGAGCTAACTCTAATTCGAAAGGCGTTTCCCTGAGTGACTTCGCGCTGCCGGGCCATGGTTTGGGTGTGGTTGTTTTCGCATTGTTCGTGTTGAATGATGACACGTGGAGCCGTCGGCTGAGAGATTTACGACGGGATTTAATGCATACTGACTGACACAAAGAATAACATAAGCAGAAAGGGAACCGCCCTGTCGGAATCCTATACATAATTTACATGCTCTGTCTGCACAAATTATTTTATTCAAAAGGAAAATAATAGTTTTAGAAATTTAAGTGATACTACCTCTCTTGGATTTCTTTTGAATTATCGGAGGATGCTATCGAATTATGGGGACCTTGCTATGCTTTTTTCTCCATGGTCTGGTGAATCACTCCCGTCAACTTATTTATTAGTGCGTACAATAATTACAAGGGTGTTGTTATTAAACCATAGGATCTAAAGTAGCTAAACATGTTTCATGTGTTCACTGATGTCAACAAAGCTGGACATGGTGTAACTTATTAATAACGTATTCCCAGGTGAGACGACCTCATCTTTATAATAAGCTTTAGTTTTTTTCTGATTATCAATCATGTATATGTCAGCTATGGTCTTAACAACGGGGTTAATTAATCATGATGTGTCATTGACGACAGTTTAGTATGAAGGGCAACGTACATTAATGTGTAAAAATTATTCCAGCACGTATGCAGCCCCTGGCTCTTCATAATTGTTTAATTTACATAATTTAAATCCAGAATAGTTAACATGCATACTTTGTCATAGGGCGAGGCTGAATTATAGTGTGATGATGATGATGATGATGATGATGATGGCTTTAACACACACAGCCCGGTGTGGCCCCTCATGCACCGAATAACTGGGGTGGTGCACCTATGCATGCACGCGCGTCTATAAGACAGATCCGGGGTGTTTGTTGGCAGACATCCACACAATGGATATAAAAATGTGCGCGTCAGATGAGGTTATTTTGGTCGTGATTTTAGGACTGTTAAAGGAATATTTTTAACATTTAAGACAACTGTTGAACCATGTGACAAAATTGTGAACTTACGTCACATCAAATATGAAGGGCCAGATTACGTCTGAGTCAGCCGAATGTAGACTACAACATCGCTTATATGAAACTTGGTTTAAGACGATGTTCACGTCGTCTAACATGTCGGAATATACCCAACATGTTGGAATAGTATAATATGTCGGGAATATACAATTTCAGAATTGTCCAACATGTTGGGCATGACGATATTGATGTAGTGAAACATATTGATATGTGAGCGAATTATTTTTTTATAATGTCCTAATTATGTAACTGTCAACATTATTTCACGAGACCGATAATCCGTATTTCTAAGTGTTATCTATTCTTTTTACCACCCATCGTCATTTTTCTGAGAGAAAATTGGCAAAATGCAGGACTCCTTATCTGGAGCAGCGACATCAGCTCGTGAATGTTCGAAGCCCGTTTCTGGTTCCCACCGCCGTCATATTGCTGGAATATTGCTAAAAGCGGCGTAAATCCATACTCACTCACTCACTGTGACATCGTCGTGATTAATGAATGACGCCATCTTCCATTATTTGCGACAATGCTTTCATATGACGTCACGTTGCTATGGATCTCTTCGCAACCAATAAAAACAATGGAACAATTGGATAGAACAAGCCAATCAGCATGAAGACAAGATCATATGGCTCATTGGAGAGTTATTACATAATTAATTTATCACTTTTATATTAAATGTCCCCCTACGCAGACTCCCTGGTCTATGTTATAGTATGGGCTTACGACAGTCGTAACACTAAAAAGGCTTTGTGGATCTGCGCCCTGGCATTCCCCGACCTTAGTGGATCGTTTGACGTCGTATTGCAGCACGCCTGTACGTCTGCTCGCCTCTCTGCTGAATGAAACTTACATCCGCCATGTGCGACTTTTATTACTAAAAAATATTTAAAAGTTTACAGTATGTCATGGACATATTTCACACAAAAAGGGTGACGGCGATTTTAAACATAAGAAGTGCAGTGTTAAATGTTCTGGATGTATGACAGTCGGAGGTGGTTATGGCATGTGGTCTCGCATAGGCGGAGATATTCAGCAAACATGGCGGCGAAATGTGTTTGTTGCTGGGAGGTTCCAGTTGACGAACTTGGTTGCTGGAGCTTCTAGATCCTCTTCGATACTGAAACATCGGGTGAAGAAAAACGAGATGATCATCAAGCGTGTGATTTCGTTAGAGTTTTGCCTCTATTCATCTAGTGATGAATGGGTACCCGATAGAGTAGATGGTAGTGTGAAATGTGTTGTTTGGTTGCATACTCCCAGTTTAGGAATTTAGCCTCAGGTGGACTTTCTAATCTTCCTCAGTAGGAGTGGTGGGCACGGGTGGCGTAGTCGACTAAGGCGCCGCGATTCGCTGTGCAGAGTTGCGTCCCTTGGGCACGCCAGAAACCTATGAATGTGGGTTCGAATTCCGGTTCGCCCCGATTATGTTTCTAGGTTTGTCAGCACCATACCCGTGCTCGTGGGATTCACCGAAGTGATAAACGTCTGAGACCTGCATCACTTCGGGCTTTCCTCCCACATAAAGATGATCTGTGAACTGTATCTATTTGCAAGTTAATGTCATACATTTTCATCTTGGAAGACATTGTCACAGGATTGTTGTTGTTGGTATGTTGTTTTACGCCGCACTCAGCAATATTCCAGTCTGTAAATAATTGTGTCTGGACCAGACAATCCACTGATTGATATCATGAGCATCGACGCAATTGGGATCGATGACATGCTTCAACCAAGTCAGCGAGCCTGACCACCCGATCCCGTTAGTCGCCTCTTACGACAAGCACAGTCGCCTTTTACGGCAAGCATGGGTTGCTGAAGATCTATTCTACCCCGGATCTTCACGGGTTCATTTCACAGGAAACGGTCATAGGTCAGGTAACGGGGTAACCACACCCGTATCACACACCCTGCATACCTGATATGGCTTGTAAATATATTCAATGGGCGATCGATATCGGCTCGGCTGGTAAGAAATTGCAGTTATGTCCCTGAGTGCATCGTCTGCTCGTCTGTTCGGCTATCTTCCCAGGCAGGATGTCTTTCAAACAAGGTGAAAATGTATTGCATTCACTTGGATATATAGGCACTTTACAAATTGATGTTGTGGTATATCATAAAAAGGTTATAATGTGATTTTTATGTCATACCCCAAATCTACCTTCGACCCCATATCCACCCTCGACCCCCATATCTACCCTCGAACCCCTTCGGGCCTTGGGCTGATATAGGGATCTCGGGCTGATATAGGGATTTCGGGCTGATATGGGGTAGGATATCAAAACTATAAAACGATGGCCTTATTACGCACGTGGTGAAGAGAGGTGTATCCAAGGTGTTCGATTCCACACATGGGTACAATGTGGGAAGCCCATTCCTGGTGTCCCCCGCCGTGATATTGGTGGAATATTGCTAAAAGCGGCGTAAAACCCAAATCACTCACTCGTATGGAACACCTGGTACCACTGTAGGAAAGACAAGGATATATATATATATATATATATATATATATATATATATATATATATATATATATTTATATATCAACACCGACACGTTAACGGAATTATTGATTTTGAACAAACCTGAATATCTATAGAGATCATCATATAAACTGAAAACAGACTGATCCTTAAACATTAACAGCCCCCTCATACACTGAAACCCTGACATCCGGGTATTATTTTGAGCATGTTAATGTTTGATAAACCAATTAAACCTCAGTCAGGACAACCCGGGCGATTTCCGGTGACCGTCACCATTCAGGTAGACACTGTGCAATGTATGTCATACGATATATCAACCTACAACAGAGATGACAACAAACAGATACATTGTGCAATATAATTATCCTTTATTATAATGTCTGTATTGTTTGATAGGCGGATAGAAGTTGGCGGATGACAAAGCAGACCCAATTGATGGATCACAACTTCTTTATGTTACTGTAATGGCGACGTTTCGGTAAAGATCCTTATACCGTTGTCAAGATTGATCGTTACCGAAACGTCGCCGTTACAGTAAAATAGAGAAGTTGGTATTCATAAATTGGGTCTACTTTATAATTTCTATGTGTTAAAGTTTTTAGCCGTCACAACAACAACCACATCCAGTGGACACGGGTTTGTTGCCGGTCGGTGAGTTTGTTAACCACTTAAATGACGTGCTGCATTCTACACAACACTTCCTACTCCAACCATGAATTGCCATGAACACACTGGAGATGGAGCTGTAGACGCAGATACGGGTTAATCTGTTTTGACAGTGTACGTATTAATGAACTCCGGCGTATGGAGCAGGCCTGTCCTCATCTGGCCTGTCCTCATCTGGCCTGTCCTCATCTCGCCTGTCCTCATCTGGCCTGTCCTCGTCTGGCCTGTCCTCATATCGACTACACTACTATCAAAACAAACTTATGGATGAGTGCACATCACACTTGTGCCCTTATCCCTTAAGTAAAATGAACTCTTCCAACAAGATAACAAAGACTTTTGATACTGTAATTTCACTGAACTTAAACAGTTTATTTTCGTGCCACGTGGTTTTTTTACATTATGTTACAAAAGTTGACACTCATTGATTAAATAAAACATCCGGCCAAGTTGGCCTTTGAGACACGTACTCTGTAGCTATTATTCCCTGTAAGTATTTGTCATTGAAGGCATCAGTAGACCTAACCATTTAATCCACAGTTCTATCTCTCAATTATCCAACCGTCTCTCTACCAAGACAAAGAGACGTGCAAATGAACAATACCAAAACCTAGGGTCATTAAACATGTCATGTACCAGTAAATATGTCAGCATCTACGAAGAGAAACATGATTAACTTTTAGCCAATGGTGTATGTTGCCGTTATTGAATTAATTCGACCCGTGAAGATCCGGAGTAGAAGAGGTCTTCAGCAACCCATGCTTGCCGACTATGCTTGTCGTAAGAGGCGACTAACGGGATCAGGTGGTCAGGCACGCTGACTTGGTTGATATATGTCATCGTATCCCAATAGTGCATGGATCGATGCTCATGATGTCAATCACTGGATTGTTTGGTCTAGACTTGATCATTTACAGACCGCTGTCATATAGCTGGAATATGTGGCGTTAGATAACAAACAAAAACAACATAGTAAATTAATTCAACCATCGTTTCCTTACTTTTGATACCCCAAATCGTGAAACATACACCATGAAGTAAGTGTATGTTTATGGATACGTGAGACCCACTATTACCTTCACGTTGACATTCATATAATATGCGGATATCTCATTTGTTACCGATCTTAGTTGAGCGGACCCATACCACGGACATCCTGTTTATGGATACTAATATATATGTTACTAAATATAGCTGTGACGATATGGTACAGACATTTGACTACATGCGTTAAACAGGTATGTTCTAGGGTCGTGGTTAAGGTTATTATAACGGAGCACAATGCGATTGCAATCACCTGTGCAGGACCACCATTCGCGTTCCCTGGGTTTCCCCTCTGTTAGTCGGTACTAAAAATAGAACAGCTTAAAACAGCAGCCAATCAGGGCTTCGGATAAATATAGCCACGCTCGAAGTGTATAAGTAACCGGCTCGTGGGCTGTGGTTCTATTATCATTACAAACAGGAGAGTGACGACATCGCTTCAACATTATACTGGTTTAGACACTGATAACGAAAGTTCGACAATGTTCTGCTGTGTGCAACGACAAGGTAAGAATCAGTTTTAGAGGTTATTTTAAATTGTTGAAGAAAATTACAAAATTATACACGATCAAAACTTTTCCATTTTCTAAACATTTACTGTCGATTATATACTACATATGTCGCTTTACTACACTGTTACTAGTAAAACGTATCAAATTTTTCTGTTAGAAAGATAACGTTCTTATCTCATTTCGTCGCTGATACAATATTGAGATATTGTCTTATTGTAATATAAGAAAGAGTTTTCACATACATCCGATTGTATTCACACACACGCACACACACACACACACCGTACACACACCACACACACACACACACACACACACACACACACACACACACACACACATCCTTCTGACTGTTATAGGAGGCGACTATAGTGGGAATCGCTGCTCGTCTGTTCAGCCACTGATTTGCTGGTCCAGACTCGATTAATTACAGGTCACCCTGACATGGCGTGAATAGTGAAGGCTGCGGCGCTTAACAACTTTCACTCTTTTTTTCATATGTTAAACTGTTATATAATGAATGTAAATATGATTATAACAATAAAGGATCAACCGTTTGATTACTTTTTTTAAATAATTTTTTATGCACTTTTTCATATTGATGTACGCCACAATACCAATCTCTAATACCATCCTCACGCCCCAGTATTAAATCGTTTGCTTCTAAGGACCCATATGTTATATTTCGTCTTCTCGTGTTCCAGTGTCTCTGGAGGAGGTGGTGAGTCGACCCCGCAAGAAGCTGGTGATCGTGGGGGACGGGGAGTGCGGCAAGACCTGCCTCCTGTACCGCTTTGCTAAAGACGAATTCGACGAGAAGATTTACATCCCCACTGTGTTTGAGGTGGATGTCACAACAGTTCATCACAACAACTCCGAGGTGAGGATGTAATTCAAAATAACTCCTGTCTTAATCCTTCATATTTCTGTGTGAATTATCTCATAGTACGTCAATATTACAAAAAAGGTTTTCGACAACAATAAATGCTGTTATTGAAAAAATACTCTGTTAAACAAGTAACTAACTTGTGGCCGAGTCTTAAAAGTGTTTCTGGTGTGTTCGCTGACAGTGGCAATGGTATTGAGTTCTGTGCTGTTGAGATGTCGTCATCAGCAATGTTGTTTACAGAGAAGAAATCACATTAGATATTACCATGTGACATTAATACATATTTACAGTTTTATCTTATAAATTCAGATCGAGTTCAGATAGTTAAATCGAACTTGAGAAATCAGTAACTCCGTATAACCTACATCTTCCCGAAGCAAGGGAATTAACTGACTATGGAAACTGGACTTATAAAGTCAGTTAACTCCCTTGCCTCGGGAAGACGTATAACCAGACGACAATGCTGATGGTCTATGCTAACATGTCGTTGCTGTATCAGGTGGAGCTGGTGCTGTACGACACAGCAGGACAGGAAGACTACGACCGACTGCGGCCCTTCTCCTACCCCGACACCGACATCGTTCTCATCTGCTTCTCCGTCAACAACCCCGACAGCCTGGAGAACGTCTCCTACAACTGGGCTCCCGAGATCCGACACTTCTGTGGCAATGTGCCCGTGCTGCTGGTGGGGACAAAACACGACCTGAGAGCCGAGACGACCGACAAAGACTCCGTGGACTCCACCAAGTCCAAGTCCAAGTCCAAGTCCGCGTTCACCACAGTCCAGCAGGGGGAGGAGATGGCGTACCGGATAGGCGCCGTGGCGTACATCGAGTGTTCGGCCAAACTGAACGAGGGGGTGACGGAAGTGTTCACCAGAGCTGTCGCTGAAGCTATGAAAAAGAAGAAGAAGAAGACTAAAATTGGCTCGAAGGGATGTCCTTTCTTTCCAGTTCGATGACTGAATGGATTTGTGCTGATTTCTAGTCAATACATTTACTGACAATACCAAATAAAAATGAACAGTGTTCATGTGTTCCAGGTGGCTTAGCCTTGTGATCAAAGTGTTCGCCTGTCAAATCAAAGGCCCGTTTTCGCTTACCAAAGGTGGTAAGCTTCGTGAAGACAATTTTGGGTGTCTCCGATGGATATTGCCTGCCGAAAAACGGACAAACTCACCCACTCACCCACTCCCCTGTTCAATATTCAGGACGGAGTTCAATTTGCAAAGTATGGCATCGTGAACATATCCAATGATACATATCTACAGACTTGCCACAAACACTGACGTTTGATACTGAGGAGAGAATGAAGAAGAAAGTTGGTACATCATTGATGACATCGTGCTACAAATAGAATGAGCTTCATCTGTGGATGCCCCATCGACTTGATTTAGCGAGAGTAACACGCATTTCAAGTGTATACTATGGACAGGAGTATACGCTTCCTCCAACAAGATGTTAAAGGTCATACATAGTTACATACAGTGTGTCATGTTCGCCATTGTTTGTAGGGGCATCGGGTGGCCTAGTGGTTAAAGTGTTTGCCGGAGCGAAGGCCCGGTTCCGATCCAACTCTTAAAACACCCTTCTTTGGTATGCAGCATTTCTTTTTAAGACATTCCAAATGGCAATAATCAGATTACCATTAATGCGTCCAGTGACGTTTTGATGCTATGTTAATGGCAGTACATGTACATTTTTATTTAAGAATAATCAAAACACCATTAAAGATTCTCAGGACAAGATGTGACGTGACATTTCCCTGAAGTCTTTCATCGTGGTTGTATGTATGTTATAAAGTATCTGTGATAGTGTGCATGTGACTTATGTACGGTTTGATGTGTATTCGTCCATCTCTGTAATGGCTTGTGTTTATTGTTGATAAAAATAAATTATTAATTTAAATTTTATAAAGAGACCTCTTTTATTTCTTACGGTTACGGGGCCACGGGTGGCCCAGTCGAGTAAGGCGCCGCATTTCGCTGTGCAGAGTTGCGTCCCTTGGGCACGCCAGAGACCTATGATTATTGGTTCGAATCCCGGTTTGACCCGATTATGTTTCTAGGTTTGTCGACACCATACCCATACCCGTTTCCTCCCACATTAAGCTGACACGCCGCGATATAGCTGGAATACTGTTAAAAGCGGCGTTAAACCCAATTCACTCACTTACTCTTACGGTAACTGACGACAAGCCCAGCACTGAACTACTCCTGGCAATCTCATTAAATTAGATCGTTTACCTCCATGCGATACCCTAACGAAGAGAGGTATAGTAACCGTGAAGAGAGTTTGGTATCGGTGTTAAAAATCTGATTTTAATGAGATTCCTACTACAGAATCAGAATCAGTTTATTCTCAAAAAACACAAAAGGTGGTACAAGAGCATATTACAATAAATAATCTACAAATAGCAGACAAGATGGCAGTTTTTAACAACATGTGATTACCTAGCATTTTTAATACTAATGGACATTTTTACAATAAATCTCGATAAAATCTTTAGATCCTGTGTGTTTGTTGTTGATAAGAGTTTTACAAATTTTATAATATTTGGCCATTCAGTAAAATATGATGATAGAAATATTTGCCTCTCTCTTTTAAAAAAAATACATCTGAATAAGTAGTGAAATTCATCAGCAATAAATGGAGAATTACATAAGGTGTAATTATGATAACAGGTTCGAAATCGTAGTATTGGAATTGATATTCGTTTTGGCAATAGAAGATATGTATCCAGAACCGGAGTGTCCAAAGGGGCGTTTTGCATTGTAAAAACATTTTCTAGAATTTATACATTCTTTTACAAACCATGGTTTGTTCATCTAATACCACTTACCGACACCCTACCATGTGGTTTCGAACTGCGCATGTCTTCGCCGAGACACTGCACGTGCAGCATGTTATTCCCATGCGCACAACATTAGCGAGCTTCATAACTCTTTGGCACAGAGACAGTTTCAACTGATGTGTGTGTATTGCCACAATATAGTTCGCGAGGAAATAATAAAATAAAGCATTAGTTGATTAAATAACTCGTGAAATGTAATTATTATCCACAGCACATATTCACGTTCTTCTATTATAACTGACATATACTCTTCCATTGAACATCTTATTGCTACCCACAAGCCACCTGAACGTCTAAATACAGTTTATAACCGGGTAATTGTGGATCATCTAGAGAATCAGTTTTGGTTTCCTCTCGTTCACCTGTTATCTTCATCGACATATTCCAAGGATTACTTAAAGTTGCTTGTGCTGCATTATACCTTGATGCTCTTATGTCATATATACACACATAATTGCTAACTAAACAATGACTATGATCTGATGGATTATAAAATGAATTGTTTACACGGTCTTCCATGCCGGCACTATAAGAAATATTAACAGCTTCATCTGTGGTAGTATTCTTAGGAGAGAAATTACAGTTAGTATCACATTCTCTTGTATTACATCAGTCAATGCGTCTCTCAAACCTGTAGTTATAAGTAAACTGTCACTGTAGTCTTTACTATGTACATCTCTGTACAGAGTGTTATTTCTGTTGCATTTATCTAGACCATTACTCATTCTGTTCACATTAAAACAATATCTTGACAGCTGTGCAGTTTTACATAATCTGTCACCTGTAAACATTAGGTATGGAGTATCTGTCACATCTTGAGGCGGTTTAGCGTCTGCTTGCCCCTGCCCACCCGTGTACCCCTATCTGACTCCTCCTCTGTAACCACCTCTAAACCTCCGTTTGGGGGTGTGGAGGGTGTGGAGGGGGGTCTTCCAGATGGTTGTTTACATACAACCTGACAACTACTATGTCAGCCTTCTTTCCATCTCTCTTAGCAGTTCTCAGGCGGGGCATAAGTACCTCTCTCCTATACTCGGCTATTTCTCCTTGGAATTGTTCCATTACTCCATAGAATTAACCTTTGAGCTCCTTCTCACTGAACTTTACGGCATCATGTTCTCTAGTATAGAGAAATTTAGCGATAAGAGGTCTGGGTCTCACCTGGTCATTCTCCTGAGTAGATGTCCGTCTTGGCCCAATTCTATGTACATGTACTCTCTTGAAGTGCAGGTGTGCACTCTCCATCTTCAAATGGTCTTTGATGAATGGCCTGAGAATCCTCTCACTGTCCTCCCATGTTTCATAATACTCCTGGGGCGGTCGGGTAGCTTAGTGGTTAAAGCGTTCGCTCGTCACGCCGAAGACCCAGGTTCGATTCCCGACATGGGTACAATGTGTGAAGCCCATTTCTGGTGTCCCCCGCCGTGATATTGCTGGAATATTGCTAAAAGCGGTGTAAAGCCATACTCACTCACTCACTCATAATACTCCTCTGGAATCTGTGTGTAAATTAGATTGTCTCGCATAGATCTGCACTTCTGATCAATCAAATTTTCTCTGAGATCTATATTTTCAGCTTTAAGATCTTGCGTATGTGAAACTTTCTCTGACAATTCTTTCACCTGCTTTTCAAAACGCTCTTTCTCACTTTTCCAGTCGTGAAACTGACTGCTCATAAAGTTCACACTTTCTTCGATTCTATCAACTTTTGTCTTCAGACAATCTATATCTTTCACATTCACTTCAATGCCCAAAATGTTTATTTTAATGTCAGTCACATCTTTCTCTATCAAATCCAACTTTGACAACTTTCTGTCTATTGAGTCAAGTCTTGCCAAAATGGCGACACAATGATCGTTACTGCTTGACTGTGACTGACCTGGTATTTGTGCAGATTCGTGTGCAGGGTTGGACATCTCTTGCTGTACATCAGTTGGGTTATATGGGGTGTTCAGTGAGTCTCTTACAGTACCCACGGTGTCAATTGCCGGTTTCTTATGGGACTGGGCCTCGTCGTTCGTGTCGCTCGTGCCTCTCGGGTCGCTACTCGGTGATAACTTCTTTCTCTTTCTCTTTTTCTTCAGGAGTGACTGGTCTAGGCATATATAGTGTATCTCTAGAGTATGTTTGCTTACTTATTGTGGTCCCAAGTTATAGATTAGTCCTGATGAAAGGTTAGTTTTCCAGGAGCTGATTTAAAAACACGTCCACAACCGCCATCTTGTTACAGTAGCTGGGTGTCATAAAAATTACCCTGGTAGCCATAACAGATTGATTGTATACATGACATCAGTCACAGGCGGATTAAGGACAGTTGAGCCAGAGAGTGGTAACGGTGTAACGCCGCGTTGAGTGGGCAAAAATACTCATACATTCTTATGAATGACATTAAGAAAACTTCAGAGTAGTAATGTTTTGAAGCATTCCTGAATTATGTAATACACTTAAATACTCTTACAATTTAGAACAGAATCATTCACAACTTTCCTAAGTTTGAAAACCACATCTACGATGATTGCCCTTTTTAGTTCTGATGACCTTGCACAAAGGTCGACCAAAGTCTGCGGAGGTGGAGACCTTTGGACAGGCCATGTGTTCCTTGCTAGTTGACGATCACAACATCTCAAATCATTTGTGAGATGTTTGTTCATCTCAAAAGTAGTCACCTTGACCTTCAAGGTCATATTTAATCATCCAGAATGATCACCATAGCGGCTGTTTTAAACTTTTACAAGAACGGGGAGCATATAACAAACTGGATGTTAAACTGACTTCACAAACCCAATTTCTGACAACTGCATGTTTCTATTCTTTTTCCAAAACTGAAACCACAATTCATCATGTAGATGGATCTTGTGACAAGATCTAAACATGTGAAAATACATGTCTCGTGGTTTCCGTATTTCAATACAATGTGCTGCTTCTTTGAATGCTTCTTTGAAGGTGTCAAGGTGAACTTAAAACAGAAACTGCAAAAACAGTTGGTGCTGATTCTATAGGAACTTCAGGTGGACAAAGATATCAGCTACCGTGGTTTGATAAGGAGTGCGAGTTTTTGAAGTCCGAGAAATACAGAATTTTGAATAAATTTAAAAGTTATATGTGTCATTCAAACTTAAAGTAGTACATATCACCCAAAGATGGTTTTAGGAAATGTTGCAACAAAACGAAACTTAACTATCACTTACATCTAGATGAAGAAATCAATACCGCTGCTAAACACAGTAATTGTAAACAGTTTTGGAAGACAATGAAAAAGGCCATGCAGAAACGTCCACTGGGGAGTTATATATCTCCAAGTGACTGGTTGATTTACTTCAGAGATCTTTTTAATCCCTTGCAAGGAACTGATAATAATGAGTTTGATTGTGTTGTGGGGGAGTTTCTGCTCTCTCATACATGTGATAACTGTAATGATTTACCCTTTTCGGATGAACTCCTGTCAGGTGAGATCACTGAAAGAGAGGTCGCGGACGCTATCAATAATCTGAGTACAGGCAAGTCCGCAGGTGAAGATGGGATACCCCCTGAATAGAGGCATTTCACTTCTAAATGGTATGGGGAAGATCTTCACGTCAGTTATAGAAGACGTTTGAGAATATGGATGGAAGTAAATGATTTACTGTCCGAGTCTCAAGCAGGGTTCCGACCAAACTACTCTGCTGTTAATTTGTTGGTTTTCCAAGCTCTTTGTTCTAAATATTTGTGCAAAACCAGAGGTCGCTTTTATTGTGTATTTATTTACTTTAATAAGGCTTTTAACTAGGTTAATAGGAACAAAATATGTATTTACTTATTACCAAGGGATGTCATGGTAAATGTCTGTACTTTTGAAAACCGTGTATGCATCAGTCAGCGCATGTATAAAGGTCAATAATGAGCGTACGGACTGCTTGACAACATCCTCCGGTGTACGACAAGGTTGTGTTTTAAGTCTGTTGTTGTTTATATTTTTCATAAATGAACTTGCTATAGAGCTGCAAAATAGTTTCCAACATGGGATATTTGTAACACAAGAAATAATGAACATTATGCTCCTTCTCTTTGCTGATGATGTTGTGTTTTTTTCTTATTCTGTAAATGGCTTGCAAAAACAGTTGAATGTGTTACAGAGTTACTGTTCAAAATGGAGCCGTGAAGTAAATCTGAATAAAACCAATGTTGTAATTTTTAGAAAAGGTGGTATTGTTGCAAAACATGAAAAGTGGTTTCTTGGTTCGTCTGACTTGAGTGTAGTCACTTACTATAAATATCTAGGTCTTATGTTTTCCTCTAGATTGTCCTGGTCTATGGCATGTATGCAATTAGCTCTTCAGGCATCGAAAGCCATTATGTCTCTTTATAATGTTTTCAGGAAAAATTGTTGTGTGCCTTTTTCACAGCATGTACCATTTTTTAAGGCAACATTATGCCTATCCTTTTGTATCGTTCTGAAGTATGGGGTACTAAGTATTACGCTGCAATTGAAAAACTTCACGCTTCATATTTCAAATGTTTTCTAGGTGTTGGTAAGTTTGCCTCAAACAAGGCAATCCTTGGTGAAACTGGCCATAGTAATATTTTTGTAGCCAGCAAAATTAAGGGTAATTAGGTATTGGATTAAGTTTCTTAGAATGATGCCTTATAGATACCCATATCAGTGTTACAAAATGTTAAAGGCACTTGATGATAATGGTAAAAATAATTGGGTTTCAGATATGAGAAACTTATTATTTGTTAGTGGCTCTTCAAATGTAGCAAGATGTGGGATGGCCACAGTTATTTTTATATCCATTTAAGCAAAGACTGAAGGATATATTTTGTCAACAGTGGCTCCAAAGTATTTCTGAATCACGTTATCTTAGCAATTACAGCAAAGTAAAATCACTGTTACAAACTGAAGGATATTTAACTTGTTTAAAAGTTAATCATTGCACAATTTTAATGTAAATGTATGTCGCAGGTCCAAAGACGATGATATTGTGAACTCTATTTGTACAAGAAGAGGATGAATACCATGTCTTACTTATATGTGAAACGCATTCCCATTTAAGGTATAAATTTATCCCTATGTTGCAAGGTATTTCGAAAGACCGTCAGTTAATGATAAATCTGCTAAACTCTGAAAATCCTGATATGATCCATGCTGTTTATGTATTCTTAAAACATGTCTTTATGATGAGTAATTTGTAACTTGATTTAAAATCTAATCATGTACATCACGTGACAAATGTTAATATCCAATCTGCATTCTCAAGCCCTGGTAACCGGGTTTTAGCGTGGCGTTACTATATTAAGGCAATCTTACAATCCCCTAAACATATTTTTCTACTTCCATTTAACGGCAACCCGCCGGCCCTCTCGCTAGAGTGAGTGGTTTTTTATCAAAGAGAAGATAGTTTATAACCCTAGTCGACGAGACATCACGTTTGTTTGTTATCTTGCCAAAAAAAATACCCATGATTAAATATGATATCCGCCTCTTCACAAAAATATAAAAAGAATTAAAGAATTGAAAGAACAAGCGTTTTAGCATGTAACACAGCTTCAGGAGTTCACTATTGGAGCGAACGAATACCACGGACATCCTGCGAATGGATATATAGATATGTATATATATTCATATATATTACTAAATAAAGCTGTGACGATATGGTACAGACATTTGACTACATGCGTCAAACAGGTATGTGCTTACGGATTTGGGTCGTGGTTATGGTTTTAATAGCTGAACACAGTACGATTGCAATCACCTGTGCAGGACCACCATTCGCGTTCCTTGGGTTTCCCCTCTGGTAGTCGGTACTAAAAATAGAACAGCTTAAAACAGCAGCCAATCAGGGCTTCGGATAAATATAGCCACGCTCGAAGTGTATAAGTAACCGGCTCGTGGGCTGTGACTCTATTATCAATACATCCAAGAGAGTGACGACATCGCTTCAACATTATACTGGTTTAGACACTGATATACGGAAGTTCGAAAATGTTCTGCTGTGTGCAACGACAAGGTAAGAATCAGTTTTAGAGGTTATTTTAAATTGTTGAAGAAAATTACAAAATTATACACGATCAAAACTTTTACATTTTCTAAACATTTACTGCCGATTATATACTACATATGTCGCTTCACTACATTGTTATTAGTAAAACGTATCAAATATTTCTGTTAAAAAGATAACGTTCTTATCTCATTTCGTCGCTGATTAATTGAGATATTGTCCTATTGTAATATAAGAGAGGGTTTTCACATACATCCGATATTACACACACACACACCGTACACACACACACACACACACCGTACACACACATACATACACACACACACACAAAAAACACACAAAACACACACACACAACACACACACACATACACACACACCCACACACACACACACACATTTTTAAAATACATTGATGTTCCCAGTACCCCACAATACCAATCTCTAATACCATCCTCACGCCCCTGTATTAAGTCGTTTGCTTCTAAGGACCCACATGCTAAATTTCGTCGTCTCGTGTTCCAGTGTCTCTGGAGGAGGTGGTGAGTCGACCCCGCAAGAAGCTGGTGATCGTGGGGGACGGGGAGTGCGGTAAGACCTGCCTCCTGTACCGCTTTGTTAAGGACGAATTCGACGAGAAGATCTACTTCCCTACTGTGTTTGATGTGGATGTCACAACAGTTCATCACAACAACTCCGAGGTGAGGATGTAATTCACAATAACTCCTGTCTTAATCCTTCATATTTCTGTGCGAATTATCTCATGTATATCGATATTACAAAAAAAAGCCTCCTCCTTATAACCTACATCTTCCCAAAGCAAGGGAATTAACTGACTATGGAAACTGGACTTATAAAGTCAGTTAACTCCCTTGCCTCGGGAAGATGTATAACCTAACGACAATGCTGAAGGTCTATGCTAACATGTCGTTGCTGTATCAGGTGGAGCTGGTGCTGTACGACACAGCAGGACAGGAAGACTACGACCGACTGCGGCCCTTCTCCTACCCCGACACCGACATCGTTCTCATCTGCTTCTCCGTCAACAACCCCGACAGCCTGGAGAACGTCTCCTACAACTGGGCACCGGAGATCCGACACTTCTGCGGCAATGTGCCCGTGCTGCTGGTGGGGACAAAACACGACCTGAGAGCCGAGACGACCGACAAAGACTCCGTGGACTCCACCAAGTCCAAGTCCAAGTCCGCGTTCACCACAGTCCAGCAGGGGGAGGAGATGGCGTACCGGATAGGCGCCGTGGCGTACATCGAGTGTTCGGCCAAACTGAACGAGGGGGTGACGGAAGTGTTCACCAGAGCTGTCGCTGAAGCTATGAAAAAGAAGAAGAAGACTAAAATTGGCTCGAAGGGATGTCCTTTCTTTGTAGATCGATGATTGGAGTAATTTCTGGAAGTGATTCCAGTCAATACATTTACTGACAAAGCCAAATAAACATGAACACAGTGTTCATCTGTTCAAGGTGGCGTAGCCATGTGATCAAAGCGTTCGCTTGTCACGTTGAAGGTCCGGGTTCGTTGCCCAAAATGGTACAATTCGTGAAGCCAATTTTGGGTGTCTCCAATGGATATTGCCTGCCGAAAAACGGACTAACTCACTCACTCACCTGTTCAATACTCAGGACGGAGTTCAATACGTGGCTACAGGCTTGCCACAAACACTGACGTTTGATACTGAGGAGAGAATGAAGAAGAAAGTTGGTACATCATTGATGACATCGTGCTACAAATAGAATGAGCTTCATCTGTGGATGCCACATCGACTTGATTTAGCGAGAGTAACACGCATGTCAAGTGTGTGCTATGGACAGGAGTATACGCTTCCTCCAACACGATGGCAGGTCATTCATAGTTCCATACAGTGTGTCGTGTTCGCCATTGTTTGTAGGGGCATCGGGTGGCCTGATGGATAAAGCGTTTGCCGGAGCGAAGGCCCGGTTCCGATCCGACTCACCCTTCTCAAAACACCCTTCTTTGGTATGCAGCATTCCTTTTTAAGACATTCCAAATGGCAATAATCAAAATACCATTAATGCGTCCAGTGACGTTTTGATGTTAATGGCGGTACATATTTATTTAAGAATAATCAAAACACTATTAAAGCTTCCCATGACACGATGTGACGTGCCATTTCCCTTAAGTCTTTCATCGAGGTTGTATGTATGTTGTAAAGTTTCTGTGATAGTGTGCATGTGACTTGTGTCTTTTCCGTACGATTTAATGTGTATTCGTCCATCTGTGTAATGGCTTTTGTTTATTGTTGATAAAAATAAATTATTCATTAGAATTTTATAAAGAGACCTCTTTTACTTCTTACGGTTACGGGGCCACGGGTGGCCCAGTTGTCTAAGGCGCCGCATTTCGCTGTGCAGAGTTGCGTCTCTTGGGCACGCCAGAGATCAATGATTATGGGTTGGAATTCCGGTTCGCCCCGATTATGTTTCTAGGTTTGTCAGCACCATACCCGTGCTTGTGGGTTTTACCGAAGTGGTAAACGTCTGAGACCTGCATCACTTCGGGCTTTCCTCCCACATTTAGCTGACACGCCGCGATATAACTGGAATACTGTTAAAAGCGGCGTTACACCAAACTCACTCACTCACTCACTCTTACGGTAACTGACGGCCAGCCCAACACTGAACTAAATCTGCTCCTGGCAATCTCATTAAATTAGATCGTTTACCTCCATGCGATACCTTAACGAAGAGAGGTATAGTAACCGTGAAGAGAGTTTGGTATCGGTGTTAAAAATCTGATTTTGATGAGATTCCCACTACAGTAACTGGATATCATAAAAATGACCCTGGGTGATTAAATATGACCTTGAAGGTCAAGGTAACTACTTCTGAAATGTACAAACAGCTAACGCCACTAATGATTTGAGATGCTATGATCGTCTGAGGGCTTTCCTCCCACATTAAGCCGACACGACGCGATTGACTGTGGCGTGAGCTGTTTGTACGTTTCAAAAGTAGTCACTTTGACCTTCAATCATATTGATCATCCAGAATGATCACCGAAATAGTATATAATAGTATATAACAAACTGGATGTTAAACTGACTTCACAAACCCAATCTCTGACAACTGCATGTTTCTATTCTTTATCCAAAATTAAAATCATAATTCAAACTTTTAGATGGATCTTGTGACAAGCTCTAAACATGTGAAAATACATGTCTCATGGTGTCTGGGGAGAAGAGGTTGTCTCGTTCAATACATTGTGCCGCTGTGGCAATCATTTGGAATGTTTCTACACAGAAAGTTCACAAGTTGCGGCCAGAAAGTCAAATTTCAGATCACAAAGAAGTCTATACGTCATTAGGATGATTCATTGCCCTTCAACCTACAGTTGAAGCAGTCTAGAGAATAAAGGAAGAAAAAGCCTGGAGCTGAATCATTAGTAGATAATTCATGCATGGTTACAAATAAACACATGAAATCGGTTATAAAATCATAACTAAATATACCAGTCAATCAGCAGTGTTTTGTATCGGAAGATATATATAGCAGTTGCTAGATTTTAGGGTGTGTTGAACATCTACAACAGTAAGGCAAGACAAGGTTACCTCCCTTGGTCCACTGTGGGCGTATGATCTCAGCATGACTTTTTAAAAGAAATAAACGGCTTGTCACGCTTTTACTTTCAGAGTGTGTAATATGGATTGGGTAATGTAATTGTGCACTCATTCACTCTATCGTGACGTTATAGTGTGGGCTACAGGATGAGTACCGGCAAAGGCATTTGAAGTCAATACATGTACGTATACCACGTGCAAAGGTTGTGTGTGTTGGGGATTGGGGCTTTGTAGACTAACATCTAGTCTCTAAAATGAAAATATTTAACAGAAATTTCAATAAAATATATTAAAAAGTAGTCCATAGACTCTCTCCTGGAAGTGTAGTAATCTAGACTTGCCAACTAGTATAGACTTGCATGGGCTGTATTAGATACATGTGTTGCAGGGTCTCACGACATGGTGTCCACTTCTAGTCTGGGGGTTGTTAAGCGGGGCGTTGTCCCTGTAATTGTGGAATCATAATTCGACTGATCTAGGTATTAACATTTGAGTGAAAACAACATGCTTCTTGAAGGACATGAGATAGCTACGCAAAGAACGAAGTGTGGTTTATTTCACGATAATACATTGTTCTATCGTGACGTCATCTTTGGAGATTCTAATATGCGCTCGCAACTGGATGACGTGGTGTATTGGAAAACTTCTTTTTTGAGAGGGGAGTGCCTGGTGAGCTGTTCCCCATAGATGTAGCTGGGCAACGCAGATAGGCGCGAAGGCGGAACGATCGCATCCAAATGCGGGAGAGATATGACAATCGGTAGTGGGAGAAAAGGTACAAATAATCGACGTGAGGATTGTGAGAATATGCGGGAATTCTCACCTGTACATAAAATGGACTTGTCCAACATTGCCGAAGTCGGGTTCTATTTAGGGAGTCATCATTATTATTAAAATTTGTATAAAGCTTGTACATTTCATCATCATCCTTAAAGAGACTGTACATAATATTGATAACTCATATAAGAAATAAACGACGTTGATTATTGTTCAATAACACACTGCAGGGAGAAAAAAACAATTCTTCAATTAATACAAATTGTGTTACAATGGTGCGGGGTCGTCGCACTGCTGGCACAGTCGACTAAGGCGCCGAAATTTGCTGTGCAGAGCTGTGTCCCTCGGGCACGCCAGAAAGTGTAGGTTCCAATCCCAGTTCTCTGAGACCTACATCACTTCGGGCAGGAAGCTGACGGGCCGTGATATCACTGGAATACTGCTAATCTCAACTTACTCATCCAAGACGTCTGGGAAAAACTGAGGCGAAGCGGCAATAAAATGCTGCAACCTTGTATGACTGAATTGTATTCGGTCAAATGCGTGTATTTTTTCAAATGAGTGATAACGTTTTTTGTGCCGTTCTTGTAGAAACTTTGCCTCTTGGTGGGCCTTTGGACTTTACCTTCTGAGCACGTTCTGACATAAGGACGTTTTGACCTGCTCGATCCCGACCTAGTTATTAAGAACGTCCAAACTCCCACAACTGAAGGTGAGTTATGGGGTGTATTCTTATGATAAAAGATACAAATAATAAGGTTCGATATATATAAATACTCCACTAGGCTACTGCGTCATCTAAAAATCTTTAAAAAATCATAATCACCGTTCATTTATTAAGAGAGAGAGAGAGAGAGATTGTGAAATCACATTACGTCATTGTAAAGGTAAAAGGAAGAGAATGAAAAAGGAAGCACATTGTTATCAATCGAATTTGTTTGAACACAAATGTTTGAAGGCTATTGTCAGTCTATTCTTGTTGACAAGAATTTTATTTGGAGTTACTTCCCCTACAGGTGGCGCTGTCGAACGTTATTGAGACACTTCCGGGATTTTGTCGTCACAATCACATGAAGTTTGGTGGTTCAGTTAAAGTTGACTAACAGGTGTTGCGACTTAGTAATTGCGACTGCTATCGAGAACAACACACGCACACAGATACGATGGATTTCTTTAAGAAAAAACCTACCGTAGAACGTAAGTTACCTTCATCAGCTGATGATTTTTTGTGTTTTTCACTCTTCAAATTTCACTGAATAACAAACTGACAAAGTATTGGGCCGTTGTCCTGAAAACTATTAAACGGGCGGATTTTCAATCCTTAATTATTCTTAGTTTTAAAAGTATCATAACGTTCATCCTCTCGTTACATTTCATTATACCCAGGTAAACACAGGTAGATCATTGTTATCAGCAGATACTATAAAATAGATGGTCTTTGTTGTCAGTTATCAATTATCAAATCATATCAGACCAAGGTTATTGAATCCTAAAGAATACTGTTGACTTTAATGCCTTGGGTCTATATATGTTGCAAAATTGTTATATAAACAGGTGTATGTTATTATCATGACATTACCATGATTACTGACAGCTAAAGAATGTGTAAATATTTAGGCCTGTTTATTTGCTAAACAAATACAACATCTTGCCAATAAGATAAGGGATAAACAAATAAACATCTTACCAATGCCTTACCAAGGCTGTTATAAAATCCATCAGATATGATCATGAGGATCTTGATAATCACCAGCACAATCTAATCAGAATAAAACATTGTCTTACTGTAGGACCCGATCACGGCTCTCAGCTGGACAAAACATAGCCTCACAGACTCATAGAAAGTAGATCCATGTCATGTGTGGACCATCAAAATAGTTTAACAAGAAGACAGAGTTGATGATAACCCCCACGCCCTTTTAGATATGTGCATAAAATCACAACTGCTCTCTGTTAAACAAAACATAGTCTTACAGACTTGTGAAACGTAGACTCATCTCCGGGATATTTATGTCATGTTGATGTAAACATGGTACTGAATCTACTTATCATGATTTGCCATGACTTTTGCTATTCTTTTATTGAAGCATTCTCATATAATAAGGGTACTTATTCAATAGAAAATGGTATTAAAATAATGGATGGTGTACATGTAATATCCAAAACATACATTAAATTTAACAGGTCTTGTTTTCCATCTTTACTCTACATATTTTTTCAGGGGTGGTGGGGTAGCCGTATGGTTAAAGTGTTCACCGACCATGCGAAGGTCTGGGTTCAATGTGAGAAACCCATTTCTAGTGTCCCCAGCAGTGATATTGATGGAATAAAGATAAAAGTGATGTAAACCCCCACTCACTCACCAATGTGTAGGCTATACTTTGGGTTTGTGCATCACATTTCTACAAATTTCATGAGTTTTATCCTCATAAATGTTACAGATTGCTTTGTTTATTGGTCTCATTTGGGATCTTTTTATTATATGGATGTTATTTTTCATTTTTCTTGTTTTCAATGTCATCAGAGCAAATTCGCCAAAATGACCGAGTGTTGAAGAAACAACAGAGAGACATTGCCAGAGACAGAGGTGCACTGGAGAGAGAGGAGAAGAAGCTGGTAATTATCTAGAATAGGTCACAGGCATGATTATTTATATTACATTTTGATCCAGTTTTTTCAAAACAGAAATGGACGTATTAATTTTTACACTTATTTGGTTAGGTATATTTTTAACAATTTGTTCAATGAATGTAATTCACATGAGGCACGAATGTTTTGTATGACTACATGTATGGCGTGTGTCGTGAAGTAAAGACAGCTACACACATTGTGATTTCTTCGTCTTTTGGTGTATGGTGACAATGTGATGAGTTGATATTTTGTATTTCAGGAATTGGAAATAAAGAAAGCTGCAAAACAAGGAAATAGACAGGTAATTCATCCTTCATTTTGTTGAAGATATAAATTCACTGAAATGTTACATCTACTGTATGTGTGTTGTGAAGAGGCAGGGAAAGGCAAAAATATGGAAAAACATGTTGTCAGAACCATGTCACATCAATGACTTGTACGACGACTGACAAGTGTTCAATAAGGATTTGCTTTTTATTCCATGAAACACCAAAACATTGTGATGAGTATACGGAAATAGTATGGTATAGTATAGGATGTCCTATCAAAAATTGTGTAGTACCAGTAAATGGTGTCTTTTTAAACAATAAAATATATTTTTCATCCGACATATCATGTATATATATATGATTAGTCACACCTAATGAGGCTGTCATCGTATGTCCATTCAGACAATGTTTCTTATCATTTCATTAATCTCTTTCACAGGCAGCAACTATCCTAGCAAAGCAGCTGGTACAATTACGCAAACAGAAAACAAAATCCTATTCTATGGGTTCCAAAATTCAGTCTATAGGAAATCAACAAAAGGTTTGTATCCATATCTCGTGAGCCGACATTCACTTCATAGTTCCCAGTGGTAACAGTGTAGAAAGTGTAAGCAGGCGACATCAGGACATTAGCAGTAGACATGTGGTCAGTGAATGTTTGCGTTGTGACTCCTCTTTACAGTTGCATGTACTTCACTTGGTTTAGAGGGGCGGTTGGGTAGCCTTGTGGTTAAAGCGCTCACTTGTCATGCCGAAGACCCGGGTTCGATTCACGACATGGTACAATGTGTGAAGCCCATTTCTGGTGTCCCCTGCCGTGATGTTGCTGGAATATTGCTAAAAGCTACGTAAAACCATACTCACTTGGTTTAGCTACCATGATAAATTGTAAATGCAAGATTAGTTCTCACTGCTTCAGAGTTTATTGTCTTCTGTTGAGATCGGGGACTTGAAGTAGCAGCGACACATGTTGGTCAGAAATGCATGAAAGTGATGTGTCCCTATTCCTTTGCAGTTGATGAACTCTAACATGAAAATGGCCAGCGCCATGGGAACGACCACTAAGGTAAGTTGATGCAGGTCTCCACTTCTAGTGGAAATCTCCGGAACTGGGAAGTTTGATCTTGCACTACGACTGTCATATATCCAAAACTTTATCATGGGATTTTTGATGATATGAGTGTGTCCTATTCAAAAATAATTTTACTTTCCCATATTGTAAGACATTTGTTTCCCCCTGAATATCCAAATTGTGGATATGCAATGTTTGGTCCTTGTTCCGAATATTGCATGATGTGTGACATACAATGATGTTTCGGCCCGTGTTTCGAATATTGCATGATGTGTGACATACGATGATGTTTGTGCAGACGATGACCCAGATGAACAAGGTGATGGATCCTCAGCAGACCATGAAGGTGATGCAAGAGTTCTCCAAGGAGTCCACCAAGATGGAGATGTCGGAAGAAATGAGTACGTTCAAGCTGCCTTCATTTGTCCTAGGATCAAAAGATCAGCCACAATTTGTCAGCACTTTCCTGAATAATGATACGATTACATGATTCAACTGGTTGTGTGCTCGATCCAACGTTCCCAACGATTATGACCTTTGGTTTTGTCAGGATCGTACACTAGGTTCAGGGCGGCGTTAAAGCCAACTCACAGACTCCTGGAAGTGGCATCTCTACTGTACACTTCTTCAGCAGTTAATGGACTTTACATTGTGATTGTGAACAATTATTACTTAGGGGAATTTTATGTGACGCTGAGGTGTTATTTTGTTTTTCTTTTTTATTGAAGTTAGTTAGTGACAAGTGCTTCACGGAATATCACAGACCACACCCATCACGTATACAAGGGACTGTAGGGCCATCATGTTACGTCTTTAACTGTTAGTGTTATGCTGTTGTAGATTATGACCAATGTTTCAACTTCATTGGAGTTACAGTGCTATGCTTTCTATGTGTTGCAGTCAGTGATACGCTGGACGACATCCTGGATGAGTCTGGTGACGAGGAGGAGCAGGACGCCATTGTTAACCAGGTGCTGGACGAGATCGGCATTGAGATCTCCGGCAAGGTGAGAGCCCACTCCAGCTTTCAAGTGTCAATGTTGAATTTTATCTCCTTGCCATCATCCCAGAATAGGAGGAGATATATATACACATATATAGTGGACTAAGTTGAGATGAGGCATGCTGTCGTTTTTGTGAAGTCTACAAACACTTCATTTGTAGACACGATGTAAGAAATCTGACAGGTTTTTGTTTTAAAATATATAAGTTATATGCTTGAACATTATTTAGGGACTGGTCTTTTACTAAAGGGAGAGGAGGTTGTGGAAAAATGTAGCATGCATTTGGGGTGGGAGTCCCGGGTGTATGAAAAAATGTTACATAAAATGGGTGGGGTGGGGAGTAGGGAGCGTCAGCAAAATAGGATACAGTTCAAAGTTTTTGGTTTTTTTTGTTGTTTATGTTGAATGTTGCTGAGTGCAGCGTTAATCAACAAACAAACACAAATATGTACATGATTTTGACCCAGACCAGTCGTGGGAAGAGGAGTAATGCATATTAATGTTTGTTTTCCAGATGGTGAATGCCCCCTCAGCACATGGTGGAGCCTTAGGAGAGTCTTCGAGGAAAAATGCAGCAGATGATGAGATTGAAAAACAGCTGGCAGCTCTCAGGGACTTGTAGTTGAACTTAGCCATATCATGTACCGTGTCCTGTGTCCTCATGGCAAACAGGTTCTATGGGAGACAACTCTGTTGCAATCTATTCATCACACACAGAGGTCACCACAATTATCCTGATGTTGTATTTTGTTGTGGAAACTTCACATCGATGAGAGAAGTCATCGTTAAGCAACTGCCTTTAAGAACATTGTATGTTATTTAAATGTTTGACAGGATAACAAGGCAGGACAACATGCAGTAAAACATGGCAGATGCTGCATGGCCAGACATTAAATGGATTGTCTAACAATTAAGTCATATCTTTACTACCATTTGAAATGTAAATTTATTCCAAATGAATAGTTCCATATTGATAAGTTATGGTTATCAGTGTTAGAAACTGGCACTGGTCCTGTAGTCCTTGCCAAAGTGCCCAATAGGTATCATAAGGACAAGAAGAAATTTTCCGGGTTTTTTTTTTTAAAGGCTTTTGCTCTGTTATCATTATACGGACGAGTGGACTAAAAATGATAGTTTCTACCGCTGGCTATGACAAGACAAGATGAACATGTTACACCCGTCCAGGACAGCGAGTTTGGGGCATCCCATGTGTCCTGTGTCGAGCCTTCTGGTGTGGATGCCTCTGTTACACTTCATCCATCACTCTGCTTCACACATCAGGACGTCCATCACTGAATCACCTCTCCAGAACAAGGGGAGATAACTTTCGCTGTTGTGTTGATCATGACAATTTGTGATGTTGAACAAGGATGTGATTTTTATTCTGTGTTTGCTTGCTCTTTTGAATGATTCAAAGTCATTTTAATGTCTGGGTAATTTGTGTATATATTAGAGATGTAAAGCAGTTTGTTATGTACCAACATGATTAGGCTTGGCAGGACTTGAGTGGTTGTATTGTCACAGTATGGGGATTATTCCCACCCTCTATTGTGAGGTGCTCAGGTACACTGTAGTTGAAGATGTCAGATGGTTTGTCTTGAACGTGCAGTGCATGGAACTGCCACATGGAAAAAGAAGCTTTCAGCAGCAGGAATACTGTTCAATGCAACTTAAACCCAACTTCTCTGTTGATTTTGTATCAGATTAGATGAGATGGAATACATCAAAGGGCATTATACTGATTATCCTAGTAGGTACAATTTATTAATATTTTTTTTGTCAAATTGGGTTTGTTGAAAACAAATATGTTTGATGTGACCAAGCAGCTTCGTTTAGAAACTAATTCAGTGTTTATAGGTTTGTTCCTTTGACCAGCTTGCCTGAAGTCTGTTGGGTGCGTCCTACTAAACATCCTAGTCACATCTGTACACAGTCTCTCACTGGAAGCACCCTGCTGGTGACATCAGTATTTTGTTAACTTATTATTCCCAATAATAATCTCCCTTAGTTATTGCCTGTTTTGTAAGCACTGGGTTTTTGTTATTTCTTTGTTTCATTTGAGACTTACACTTGACTTAAACTTTGGATTCCATTTTCTAGGACTATATCTGGGGTTAGATGCTGGAGGTGAAGCAGTTCCCCGAACTTTAGGTACATTGTGATCCTCTGTGGTACGATATGAACTTCACATCTGAAGGTCATTTATGAATACAAAACATGTTTGTTTGTTTGTTGTTTAACGCCGCACTCAGCAATATTCCAGCTATATGACAGCGGTCTGTATAAATAATCGAGTCTGGACCAGACAATCCAGTGATTGATATCATGAGCATCCATCCACGCAATTGGGATCGATGACATGCATCAACCAAGTCAGCGAGCCTGACCACCCGATCCCGTTAGTCGCCTTTTACGTCAAGCATGGGTTGCTGAAGACCTATTCTACCCCGGAATCTTCACGGGTCTCAAAACATGTACCAATATATATATATATCGGTACGTTTTGTATTGATAAATGTACCGATATATATATATATATATATGATAAATGATCTTCCGATGTGAAATACATATTCGTATCGTTCAGCATATATATTATATGCTCTTCAAAAAAAGAACCTTGACACTGACTTTCAAAATGTAATATAATGCAATTGTTTCAAAATAGGACACAGAAACCATAATTAAAACACTGTTTGAAGATCAATGTACATAATGTTCAAAACATTAATCGTGTCACCTAGACAGACACACGTACACGATACAGTTAATGTCACAGGGGTACAGAAAATGTCAGTATCGGTTGTGCCCACCACATGCATCAATCACCGCTTGACACCGATGACCCATAGATGCAATCACGTTTTTTTACAGGCGGTTGCGTTTGGATGAAGCTGTGAAATTGATCCCCAAACGCTACGTTTATGTGCTTTGCATGTGTTTTCACGAATTATAGACACATCATCTTTCTGTTTGACTTGTTTGGTTCTCATTTAATGTAATTATTTTAGAAATTTGGCAAAAAGTGGTTTTACATCTATGTCAAGTTTCTTTTTTTGAAAAGTATATATATACACATATTCTAAACGTTAAACTGTATCTTCTGTAGATAAGGGTGACAGTTAAATGATCGGAACATAGAACATTAAACTGTATCTTCTGTAGCTAAGGGTGACAGTTAAATGATCGGAACATAGACGTTAAACTGTATCTTCTGCCTCTTTGTACAAAAGGTCGCAACCCAGTGTTTTATCTGCTTAGATGGGCTGCTATTCCTTTTTTTATGATCTCCGATATGAGGTATGAATTGTATCGCAATAAAGCGTAAAATTACTGCCCTAAACATGAAGTTGGTTTCCTAAACACATCATGTGAAGGGCCTGTTGCCATGGTTACCTACACTATGTGTAGAGCGACAGTGTTAACTAATGTATGTTAGTGGGTTAAGTAAACAAATAAACAGTTGTTTATTCCTGCAAAATTGATGGATTATTCAATCAACAGATGCAATATTAGTGTGTAAATATATATGCATGTAAATGTGTACATTTTGCCTCTTACTTATTATCAGAAAAATAAATAATTTTAAATTGAGTTTTTGTCAGTTGATGTTTCAAAGACAAGAGTCAGGGGTATGGAAACTGAAAATGTTTACTTTTCACCATGGAATTCAGGTTAGAATTTGTCCCCAGCATCATAAACGGGTTGTAGGAGGTGACTTAATGGATTCGGTGGTCAGGCTCGGTCATTGGTTGATAGCATGTCATCGTGCCTTGATTCCTTGGAGCATGGATCATAATATCATATACTGGTTGTTGGAGGTGACTTAATGGATTCGGTGGTCAGGCTCGGTGATTGGGTTGATAGCATGTCATCGTGCCTTGATTCCTTGGAGCACTGATCATAATATCAATCACTGGTTGTTTGGTCTTCCGAGTGTTTTTCAATAAAACACAACTTTTTACGATGGTTTGATAGTCAATAGACTAGGGCAATGTATTTCAACACATGAGAATATCCCCAAAACTTTACAGTTTTAAAAATAAGGGCATTGTTATCCAAGAACCTGCCAAGGTTTGGCAGACAACACACCAACTTCCTTCAGTAAAATGCCAAACTTGACATTGAGCAGTTTTACCTTGACAAAGACACAACACATTTATTATTTCCAGTTTTAATAACAAATCATTGCAGAGGCCAACTAAATATTGGTAAAAGAAAATATCTTGTGACCTTGGAACACTTGCCAGATGACAAAACCAGATCACTCTTAGTTTCAGACATTGTTTATTCTTCACAATATACAGAGATGCATCCATTTTCACAGAAACACTGACCCACAGAATAATTAGGCCAAAACTAACCTGCTTAATTTGTCATCATTTTCTAGTGTCATTTAAAACCGTTTTAGACCCATGTTAAGAGCAAAATCTTCAAAGTGAAGTCTCGCACTCCCAAGACGAATATTTACTCCCAAGTCAGGTGTTATTGCAACAAGGTCTGGATGCATCACTGGATATATACTGTGTAGGGCCTAGAGCGGAGGAGATGCATGACAGCATCATGATAATACTGATACAACTTATAGTATCATAGGCTGATGTACTGATACGAAACAATGCCTTCTGGTACTGCACAGCAAATTTTTGTGCACAACATCTTGTCTGCAGTATTTTCACCAATGACAATCAGCCAAACAGATGACACATACTATTTTGGCAAAATGGTGGCAGCAGACGGCAACATGCCCAGCCAGCCAATACAGGGACATTGTGAACATCATGTCCACTAGACGAACCATCTCCTATATCATTTATCACACAATACCTTTCTCTCCTCTAATGATTTTCTTCCTGCTTCTGATAGAGCAGCTGGACTTGCTTTTTTATGAATAATACTACACTGACATCATCAGCTTGAGTTGTTTCTGTATCAGGATACACATCGTGTCATACCTTCATTATCATGACGCGTATCATATCATCCTTCACCACAAGAACCCCATGAAACTCCCCACAGTAAAATAATTAGGGGGTGAAACGATACAGCAAGTTCACTATACGATACGCAATTCAACACATAGGTAACAATACGATACGTCGCGATACACATATTTCAGCAAATTGCGTGGAAACTCCTTGACTACAAATATTTCAAATAGAATCATGTTCAAAGCTCCTATTTTTAGTAGAGAACTTAAAATGCTAATTACAACACAATTTGCGAAATTTGCTTGACAAAATTGCAAGGTGGTCAATAAATGAGTAGTAATTACAAGTAATAAATTTTAGCAAATTTAGTGTATCATATTGTATCGATACAGAAGAAAACTTACAATGCACCGGTGCACCGATGTATCGTTTCACCCCAAGAATAAATACTTGCAAACAATGACATGGATATGATCCTCCATTCCAAACAAAAGAAAGTGGACAGGGAAAAACTGACGACACCAGCTTCTGACAAGTACTGAGTTGTCAGAAACTGGGCTCTTATATCCAAGTTCGTTCACAAGCATATAGTAAATAATGCCCATTACACATGTACCACATCACCTGCTAACCTTTCTGTACTGCGGAACCCTTGATTGGGATCTTCAATTACCGGGGGTATTCCATAATACCCTGACTAATTATTCCTGTGTAGTGAGTGAGTTGAGTTAAACGCCACTTTGAACAATATTACAGTTATATCACAGCGTGTCAGCTTAATGTGGGAGGAAAGCCCAAAGTGATCCATATCTTATGTTAACCACTTTGGTAGAACCCACTAGCACAGGTATGGCGCTGACAGGCCTAGAAAATATACAGAGCGAACCAAAATTTGAACCACGATCATAGGTTTCTGGCATACTCAAGGGATGCAACTCTGCATGGCAAATTGTGGCACCTTAGATGACTGGCCCCCTACACCCATGTTAATCTATCTTAATCCTTATCAGAAAGCGAGACCTGGTGACCTCAGCTATGTGCACAGTCATGCTGTAGATGGTCTTCGAGGCGCTGACTAACATCCATGCTCATTCAACATTCATCTAAACAAACTACAATAAAACCGCCATGCATGACATCATCACCTTGCTTTCAACATACACACACAATCCTGTACAATCAGTTTTGATTCCATCTCATCCACACTATGTACACTACATTTGAACACAACATCTCCAGACTAATGAGATGCATATCGACTGCCACTCCCACCATACGGACGTACATTGCAATACTTCAGCAATATTATGGGTTCACTAAAATCATTATTCATGGTCCACAGTGTGACTCCACACCATGACTTAACTCAACTGGTCCACAGCACCTGTGGTGTACATGACATGAGGAAGCAGCAATGGGTCCCTCCAGAGTTCCTAGAGTCTCTGTGTCTAGCCTTGCTAAGATTGAGTCCTCATTGTGACCAGCACAGAGACCATTGGTCTATCGAACTGTCTCTCCCTCCCCCAACTCTCCAGATGTATACACAGTCACTATCATGAGGCAGGTCAACATGTAGGGACATCAAGCTATTTCATCTACCTTCCTGTCTGCTGCACATCAGTATAAGCTAAGACATCAGTATAAGCTAAGACATCAGTATAAGCTAAGACATCAGTATAAGCTAACACCTCAGTATAAGCTACCGTTAACACCTCAGTAAATGCCTCAGTGCAGTGCCCCAACAGCCATGTTCACATCACGCCACCTCCTAGCCACATTAAGCACAACCTGTATATTTCGTAACTGGATCCAGACACCCAACAACTTTCATTTGCCCAAAAGGAGCACAAGTTCCAGGACGTTTCATTCAAGCCCTCTTCTTCATCTGCCAAGTCAACATTAGTTTCCCCTAATTCTACCGAGACAATGTGTCACTCCGTCCATCTCACCTGGACATGGGCTCCAGGTGGTGGGGTATAGTACCTCCTTAAACCCCGGTCTCAAACAATATGTGTCCAAGTACTCGATAGAAATGTGTACATCACTCTGCTGAATGTCCTCCATTGTCAGTCGCGGGGTATCAGTCGCGGGGTATCAGTCCCGAGGTATCAGTCCCAGCTCCTGGAGACACACACTGGCCGCCTGGGCCTTGGCTAGCTTCTTGTTGGCACTTACTGCTGATGACTGGTACTCTACGCCGTTTACAATCACCTGAAACAGTAGAGGCAAACACATGAACAATCACCTGAAACAATGGAACAATTGCCTCAGACAGATTAACAATCGCCTCAAACAGTGGAACAATCACCTGAAACAGATGAACAATTTCCTCAAATGGAACAATCGCCTGAAACAGGAACAATCATTTGAAAAAGGGAAACAATTACCTGTCAAGGGGGACAATGACACAAAACATGTTGAATAATTACCTGAAACAGTGAAACAATTGCAGGAAAATGTCTGGGATGTAATGTCACATAATGTGACTACCTGATTATCATTTGAGATGCCTGTTATGACTGACATTCAGCATTAATGGGCCAGACTCCCTATGAGGAACACACTGAACACCCCCCAATACCTAACGAACTGCTTGCTCCCTGCACCAAGGATGACAACGAGAATGGATCCCTTGACATCCACACATCTTCAACTCACATCCCATTCCCTTCTTATTTGCCTTTCAACATTTCAAAAAGACAAAATCAGAGGTCTATAGATCAAAATCGATATTTTTTTTCACTAACCTTGAAGAGGAAGCTTTTCTTGTGGTCTGGGCCAGATTCTTGCACAATGATGAAGTTCGGCGGTCCCCATCTTCTCTTGTTGCAGAGTTCTGTGAGAGCCGACACTGGGTGTTTACCTGAATGAAAGTCAAATTAATAATAAGCAAGGTCCTGAAACCATTCATTTACTTTCTGTTATTATTCTGAATTCTTATAGAACTGTTCCAAATACTGTAGATCAGTTTCATGGAGGATTAATTGGTATCAGTTGCCAACAAAGGAATCAATCATGGAACTGTGATCGATTATTTTCCAATACATACATATTATTTCTATGATTTGTTTGTTTTGCTTGTTTAACACGGCACTCAGCAATATTCCAGCTATATGACAGCAGTCTGTAAATAATCTAGTCTGGACCAGATAATCCAGCGATTGACATCATGAGCATGGATCCACACAATTGGGATACGATGACATGCATCAACCAAGTCAGCAAGCCTGACCACCCGTAGTCGCCTTTAACGGCACACATGGGTTGCTGAAGACCTATTCTACCCCGGATCTTCATGACAAGCACGGGTTGCTGAAGACCTATTCTACCCCGGATCTTCATGACAAGCACGGGTTGCTGAAGACCTATTCTACCCCGGATCTTCACGACAAGCATCCCTTTGGTGTTGAAGGTGGCAGCTTTGTGTTCCAGAGCATAGTAAAATATTTATGGCTTCTGCAATCTTGTTATTTTGTGGTCATGCTGACACCTGACAAGTCCTTCACACATTCCACATTAGAGGTGTGGCCACTCACCTGATAAGTCCTTCTTGACACGAGCCACCGTCCCCCCCTTCCGTGTGTTCTCCCCCTCAGATATGAGACCTGTAAGCAACACAACTGTCAATAACCATACAGGATACACACATCTCAAGCCATGCTAGCTTGTTCATATACATTTGACTCTTGTGAACTGAACAAAAATCCTTGTCTGACAAAAGCCTACAGACACAAGAGTCATCAGAAGATGACATATCCCCCCGGTCTGGTGCAATTTGGAAATGGAGTTTGGCTACTTATACCCCACTTTTGGTTCACTGCCATTGGTTACCTTCAATTCAGTGAAGAATAAAATAACGCTGTTCAGTATGTTTCAAAATCCCAAATCATCAAAAGGCACCAGTTCACCACTATACGGATCTGTGTAGCAAGTTTTGTGTAGGAATATTCAACAGGTTTGGAGTTCTGCTCCAGAAACGAGCACGACCCTCATTTTCAGTAAAGTCCAACTTGCTGTAATAAAAAAATAACAACAATCTTTTTTCAAAATCCCAAATCTTCAAAAGGCACCAGTTCACCACTACACTAATCTGTATAGCAAGTTTCATCTAGAAATATTCAACTGTAATGGAGTTCTGCTCCAGGAAAAGAGCACAACCCTCGTTTTCATGAAAAACCGCTGGCTATGACAAGACAAGATGAACATGTTACACCCGTCCAGGACAGCGAGTTTGGGGCATCCCATGTGTCCTGTGTCGAGCCTTCTGGTGTGGATGCCTCTGTTACACTTCATCCATCACTCTGCTTCACACATCAGGACGTCCATCACTGAATCACCTCTCCAGAACAAGGGGAGATAACTTTCGCTGTTGTGTTGATCATGACAATTTGTGATGTTGAACAAGGATGTGATTTTTATTCTGTGTTTGCTTGCTCTTTTGAATGATTCAAAGTCATTTTAATGTCTGGGTAATTTGTGTATATATTAGAGATGTAAAGCAGTTTGTTATGTACCAACATGATTAGGCTTGGCAGGACTTGAGTGGTTGTATTGTCACAGTATGGGGATTATTCCCACCCTCTATTGTGAGGTGCTCAGGTACACTGTAGTTGAAGATGTCAGATGGTTTGTCTTGAACGTGCAGTGCATGGAACTGCCACATGGAAAAAGAAGCTTTCAGCAGCAGGAATACTGTTCAATGCAACTTAAACCCAACTTCTCTGTTGATTTTGTATCAGATTAGATGAGATGGAATACATCAAAGGGCATTATACTGATTATCCTAGTAGGTACAATTTATTAATATTTTTTTTGTCAAATTGGGTTTGTTGAAAACAAATATGTTTGATGTGACCAAGCAGCTTCGTTTAGAAACTAATTCAGTGTTTATAGGTTTGTTCCTTTGACCAGCTTGCCTGAAGTCTGTTGGGTGCGTCCTACTAAACATCCTAGTCACATCTGTACACAGTCTCTCACTGGAAGCACCCTGCTGGTGACATCAGTATTTTGTTAACTTATTATTCCCAATAATAATCTCCCTTAGTTATTGCCTGTTTTGTAAGCACTGGGTTTTTGTTATTTCTTTGTTTCATTTGAGACTTACACTTGACTTAAACTTTGGATTCCATTTTCTAGGACTATATCTGGGGTTAGATGCTGGAGGTGAAGCAGTTCCCCGAACTTTAGGTACATTGTGATCCTCTGTGGTACGATATGAACTTCACATCTGAAGGTCATTTATGAATACAAAACATGTTTGTTTGTTTGTTGTTTAACGCCGCACTCAGCAATATTCCAGCTATATGACAGCGGTCTGTATAAATAATCGAGTCTGGACCAGACAATCCAGTGATTGATATCATGAGCATCCATCCACGCAATTGGGATCGATGACATGCATCAACCAAGTCAGCGAGCCTGACCACCCGATCCCGTTAGTCGCCTTTTACGTCAAGCATGGGTTGCTGAAGACCTATTCTACCCCGGAATCTTCACGGGTCTCAAAACATGTACCAATATATATATATATCGGTACGTTTTGTATTGATAAATGTACCGATATATATATATATATATATGATAAATGATCTTCCGATGTGAAATACATATTCGTATCGTTCAGCATATATATTATATGCTCTTCAAAAAAAGAACCTTGACACTGACTTTCAAAATGTAATATAATGCAATTGTTTCAAAATAGGACACAGAAACCATAATTAAAACACTGTTTGAAGATCAATGTACATAATGTTCAAAACATTAATCGTGTCACCTAGACAGACACACGTACACGATACAGTTAATGTCACAGGGGTACAGAAAATGTCAGTATCGGTTGTGCCCACCACATGCATCAATCACCGCTTGACACCGATGACCCATAGATGCAATCACGTTTTTTTACAGGCGGTTGCGTTTGGATGAAGCTGTGAAATTGATCCCCAAACGCTACGTTTATGTGCTTTGCATGTGTTTTCACGAATTATAGACACATCATCTTTCTGTTTGACTTGTTTGGTTCTCATTTAATGTAATTATTTTAGAAATTTGGCAAAAAGTGGTTTTACATCTATGTCAAGTTTCTTTTTTTGAAAAGTATATATATACACATATTCTAAACGTTAAACTGTATCTTCTGTAGATAAGGGTGACAGTTAAATGATCGGAACATAGAACATTAAACTGTATCTTCTGTAGCTAAGGGTGACAGTTAAATGATCGGAACATAGACGTTAAACTGTATCTTCTGCCTCTTTGTACAAAAGGTCGCAACCCAGTGTTTTATCTGCTTAGATGGGCTGCTATTCCTTTTTTTATGATCTCCGATATGAGGTATGAATTGTATCGCAATAAAGCGTAAAATTACTGCCCTAAACATGAAGTTGGTTTCCTAAACACATCATGTGAAGGGCCTGTTGCCATGGTTACCTACACTATGTGTAGAGCGACAGTGTTAACTAATGTATGTTAGTGGGTTAAGTAAACAAATAAACAGTTGTTTATTCCTGCAAAATTGATGGATTATTCAATCAACAGATGCAATATTAGTGTGTAAATATATATGCATGTAAATGTGTACATTTTGCCTCTTACTTATTATCAGAAAAATAAATAATTTTAAATTGAGTTTTTGTCAGTTGATGTTTCAAAGACAAGAGTCAGGGGTATGGAAACTGAAAATGTTTACTTTTCACCATGGAATTCAGGTTAGAATTTGTCCCCAGCATCATAAACGGGTTGTAGGAGGTGACTTAATGGATTCGGTGGTCAGGCTCGGTCATTGGTTGATAGCATGTCATCGTGCCTTGATTCCTTGGAGCATGGATCATAATATCATATACTGGTTGTTGGAGGTGACTTAATGGATTCGGTGGTCAGGCTCGGTGATTGGGTTGATAGCATGTCATCGTGCCTTGATTCCTTGGAGCACTGATCATAATATCAATCACTGGTTGTTTGGTCTTCCGAGTGTTTTTCAATAAAACACAACTTTTTACGATGGTTTGATAGTCAATAGACTAGGGCAATGTATTTCAACACATGAGAATATCCCCAAAACTTTACAGTTTTAAAAATAAGGGCATTGTTATCCAAGAACCTGCCAAGGTTTGGCAGACAACACACCAACTTCCTTCAGTAAAATGCCAAACTTGACATTGAGCAGTTTTACCTTGACAAAGACACAACACATTTATTATTTCCAGTTTTAATAACAAATCATTGCAGAGGCCAACTAAATATTGGTAAAAGAAAATATCTTGTGACCTTGGAACACTTGCCAGATGACAAAACCAGATCACTCTTAGTTTCAGACATTGTTTATTCTTCACAATATACAGAGATGCATCCATTTTCACAGAAACACTGACCCACAGAATAATTAGGCCAAAACTAACCTGCTTAATTTGTCATCATTTTCTAGTGTCATTTAAAACCGTTTTAGACCCATGTTAAGAGCAAAATCTTCAAAGTGAAGTCTCGCACTCCCAAGACGAATATTTACTCCCAAGTCAGGTGTTATTGCAACAAGGTCTGGATGCATCACTGGATATATACTGTGTAGGGCCTAGAGCGGAGGAGATGCATGACAGCATCATGATAATACTGATACAACTTATAGTATCATAGGCTGATGTACTGATACGAAACAATGCCTTCTGGTACTGCACAGCAAATTTTTGTGCACAACATCTTGTCTGCAGTATTTTCACCAATGACAATCAGCCAAACAGATGACACATACTATTTTGGCAAAATGGTGGCAGCAGACGGCAACATGCCCAGCCAGCCAATACAGGGACATTGTGAACATCATGTCCACTAGACGAACCATCTCCTATATCATTTATCACACAATACCTTTCTCTCCTCTAATGATTTTCTTCCTGCTTCTGATAGAGCAGCTGGACTTGCTTTTTTATGAATAATACTACACTGACATCATCAGCTTGAGTTGTTTCTGTATCAGGATACACATCGTGTCATACCTTCATTATCATGACGCGTATCATATCATCCTTCACCACAAGAACCCCATGAAACTCCCCACAGTAAAATAATTAGGGGGTGAAACGATACAGCAAGTTCACTATACGATACGCAATTCAACACATAGGTAACAATACGATACGTCGCGATACACATATTTCAGCAAATTGCGTGGAAACTCCTTGACTACAAATATTTCAAATAGAATCATGTTCAAAGCTCCTATTTTTAGTAGAGAACTTAAAATGCTAATTACAACACAATTTGCGAAATTTGCTTGACAAAATTGCAAGGTGGTCAATAAATGAGTAGTAATTACAAGTAATAAATTTTAGCAAATTTAGTGTATCATATTGTATCGATACAGAAGAAAACTTACAATGCACCGGTGCACCGATGTATCGTTTCACCCCAAGAATAAATACTTGCAAACAATGACATGGATATGATCCTCCATTCCAAACAAAAGAAAGTGGACAGGGAAAAACTGACGACACCAGCTTCTGACAAGTACTGAGTTGTCAGAAACTGGGCTCTTATATCCAAGTTCGTTCACAAGCATATAGTAAATAATGCCCATTACACATGTACCACATCACCTGCTAACCTTTCTGTACTGCGGAACCCTTGATTGGGATCTTCAATTACCGGGGGTATTCCATAATACCCTGACTAATTATTCCTGTGTAGTGAGT